TGACTATTTAGAGAATACAATTGGAGGAATTTAAACGCGGGGTACTCCGAAATACCGAGCCTCGGGGGCTAGATATGAGAATGTCTGCGTGCACAAGAGCTACCCCAACACACAGGTATGTATGCTGTATATATCATAATATGTACGGAGTACTACAAGCTCTACATGTATATTCATGTAGATTTGAGGCACCGGGGTACTCGGTTGTGCGATATGCACATGCATGCGATCACGCCTCATAAGCCCTAAGTTTATTCTTAACCCGACGAATCATAGACCTAGGATATAAACATTGAAATTATTTTAATTATAGGTCCAGCCTGATACGATCACATCGGGTCTTTATAGTTCCCACGCTATCGGTATATACTCTCTGGTTTATGTTGAGGGGAGATAAAATGTTCTGCTTCCACACTTCCTGATCATTATGCCAACGCGTAAAAAAAAAAAAAAAAGAGTGGCACACCACTAGCGACCAATGAATTTGAGCTCTAATGCCCGTAACGGTGGGAAAAACATCGCAGTGAAGCCCGCACCCAACCAGAGACCCAGATCAGCTCCGCCAGCCATCTGCGCAATGGGGCCGATGTAATACCCTTGAGACTAATTCGAAGTATTAGCAAGACGTGATCAATTGGATTTCGAGCATCAGTCTTACCATGCCGACAATTGCACCAGCCCAGCCAATAAGGAAAGCAACTGCCGCTGCAATCCCCAAAGGCAATTTATCGCGACAGTTCCACTGAGACCAGTCATAGCCTCTATTCCGGCGGAAAATTGTGTGCTCTTCGAAGACAATCACAACGAACATCATAACCCAGTATCCGATCAAAGGCAGGAAGGACTTGAAGACCTCGTACAGCCGGTCCCGGCCTCCCATCGCGCATGCAGCATAGATTACCGTAGCGAGAGTCGTGAAGACCGGTCGGGGAACCTTTCCAAACATCCCGCCGATCATCTGGAAATTCATTCCCATAGAGTATGCCCCGGGAGTGTTATTGGCAACCAAGGCGAGGACATTGATAACCGCACAGAATTTCCCAAATCCTCCGAGACCATCATATGCTGTCATCAGCACGCCTCCGGGAGTGGTGCCGTACTTGGTTGCGTGATGTGCCGAGCTAGCAATGACGGTTCCAAGACCGATACCCATAAGGAGAACAACTGACATGCCATTCGTGGCGGCGAAGACTGTGACCAGGAATGTGCGGGAGCTCTTCATCTGCGGCGGGAGGTAAACATAGTAATCGGCGGCGAGCGGGGCCCAAGCGAGGGCAATGGACAATGCCAGGGAGAAAAAGGTGAGTCTTTTAGCAATCAAGCTCTCTGGCGACATTGGTGTCTGAATGTTGAAATCGAAATGAGGCCCTGCGGAACCAATCATCACGCATATCACCAGCAGCTGTGGCAACCAGGCAACTCTGATATCAATTAGAATTTGCATTCAAAGTGTTCTGTGCTGATAATGCTTACCGCTCATATAATTGGAAGATTTTCATGCCAAATATGGCCATAGCCCAGCTGGCAACGGCGACAATGATGATGCCCACTATCACGGAGAGACGACCACCAGAGACCACAGACAAAATCTGGCCACCGACCACGCTGTTTACCATGCTATACCCGATATTGGTGAAAAGGTTCAGGATAATGCAAGCTTTGCTGGGATAGTAGCCCATGAAATATCGGGCCACAATCTATCAAATCCATGAGCATTCGTTCGCTCTCTTCATATTATCTTCCTCTCCTGCAAAAATCACCCAAGTTTCGATACAGACATACCAAAGTTCGATTTCCACTTCTCGGTCCCCATATACTTATAAATCCAACAGTGCAATTGCCGGCTAAACATCCAAATACAGCACAGAGGGCCGCATCCCTGAAGCTGAGGCCTAACACGAGTGTACCCATTGATCCAACAATGATGTTATTTGTAGCCAATGTCATGCTAAACCACATTAGCAGCATATGTAGTATGGTTGAAGGTGTTATTAGCTCTCGATTTTCGATAGCAATAGGCTCGATGCCACGGCTCTCCACATTTTTCAAGCTCGCAATCCATCGTTGACATCTTGTTTGCGGCACGGGGTCGGGCTTTGCGAGGTCTGTATCGTTGGAGGAGCTATTAGAAGCGCTTTTGTCGAGGTGAAACTGACTCGAACTCTCAAGAGTAGGCGAGTTATGGGCTTTTTCGACATCTTCGGGCTTCATTCTCAGGTATTTCGGATGACGATTGAGTGGAGTATGCGGGATTAAGCTGTCCGTAAACAGAAGCTTTCAATCCTAGTCCACCAATAGACAAATAAATACCGAGGAGTCTAGCGTATAGATTGGATGTCGTAGATCCGCAGTTATACAACAGTTACAAAAGGAGAGCGATATGAGCCGTTCGTATGAAACATGACGGACAGGGGGAGCTATGGTATGATAGATATAAGAGAAAAAGCACTCAGGGCCAGTGCACCATTGTTAGGCAGTCGAGCCCTGACATCACCCTGTCTACCCAGTGAGACGGTGTAACGGCCCCAGGGGAGACTGGATACAGACGCATTCCTCAGCAATCAAGGCACCACCCGAGCAGCTCGCTGACGGCGTCCAATGATGAGCACTGGAATTGCACCACTGCAATACAGCTGTGAAAGAACAGGCTCTGCAAATCCTAGAACATTGATTGCATCGTGGAGAGAAAATAAGCTATCAAGCCTTATCCCGGTATACAAGTGGGGGGAGGAGCTTCATCCTGCAATATTGACCCATCCACCAGGACACCCACCCACACACATATTCGGTGGGTCTGTAACCACCTCATGATACCATCCAGGGAAGGGATAAGCCCATGACAGCCACAGCATAAAAGATAAAAGTCCGCCGATCCCTGTGATCCGCGATACATTTCCGTATGGGGTAAGTGGCATACTGGAAAGCTCCGAATATGCATGTACTGGAATGCTGCAGATGCAAGGAGTATGTATTAGCTCACGATCCTATACGATGCTCAGATTTTGGGAAGGAGGATAATGATCAGCCCGAAGCTCCGTTGAGCAAATTCCACGAGAAATGTATTTTAGTCTCCTGTGATTGATGCGGGACGAATATTTCCCCGAGTATTTTTTGTGATGATTCGCTCTAGCTCTGGGGAAAGAAAGTCTGAGGGAAGGGGTGCTTTTAAATAGCTCTAATCAATGTTTACTTTTATTAAGCCATTCATAATATAGCTAGGTTACTATATATACTATATATCGAGAGTTTCTCGAGGGCTGTTCGGTTGTCCTCGGCATCGTTGTATAGCCTATTTGGGCACGAGTTGATTGGTACATCGTACAGGGGGTACTATGGAGGCTTGAATGGTGTTACATGCTCTTTGCCGGAGCAAATTCCCCTTCATCCCGACTTCTTTCATTGTCTTTTGTGCTCGGAAGACTTGTATGAAGAATCCCGAGTTATGTGATATTACGTAGCTCGAATCTCTAGCCCATATCATTTCCTACAAATCTAGCCAAGCTTTCCTTCCATCTCTTCTGATCCACAAGCCGGAATCCGCGATGGTGATCTGTGAAGGCAAACTCTGCTAGCTTGTCCTTTAGGCGTTGGCGAAATGTGGTAGAAAAATAATGGCCATTAAGAATGGGTGAATTTTCCATGAGATTAGGGTTTATTGATTATATGGCGCGGTATACCCAGTATACATGCACCACAATATATTCTATAATGGCTGTCTGCCAGGGGCTTTACAATCTGAGCTGCTATTATGGCTGTATTTAGACTCAGAATTCCCAAGCAACTGTCAGAGCAGAGAGTTACAGCTATTTGTATGGCTCTTCTAGTTTATGGGTACGTTCTAGACTTTGATCGCACCGCACCCATAGTTTTGCGTACTTCAGAATAAGCGACAGTGGTTGATCACTATGTGATTTGTTTTCTTTCACTTGCTTCCGGGACTCTAGGCCTGAGGCGACATGCAAATGAATAATGCAGCCTTAAAATATAGACGCAGTTTGTTATACTGATTCTAGAACAGTGACATATTTGATGGATATAAATACCATAGATCCCCAAGCATCAAGCTCCGTTTATTCATCACTCAACTTCTTCAACACTTGTGAAATCTCACAGCTACTTGACTAAGTCAAGACATCTCGCATCATGACTTCCACCATGAATATAGACCCTTTTTCTTTTTACGCCTCTCTATAGTTATGGCGTATTATAAATCATCAACTAATTATAGCACGGAATCTGCCCGGTAAGCCTATACAATGAAGCTTTATAAATCTATTTATCACCACATTCAGGGTGGTTTCCAAACTACTATACATTAACCATATATTAACTCTACTACCTATTATATGTTGTTAGTCTTTTCACTCTTCTCGCTTTTCTCTCACTTTTCCCTCACAACCCTTACGACGAAAGCATATGTCTTTCAATATATGACCTGCAGTAGTAATCCTACTCGAGCTTTCCTATTACAGATGTTGATATCTCACACGGTCACATGATCTCGTTTGTCCCATTAGTAGGCTTCATAGCCTAATCCTGTATTCTCCCTACTACATAGCTTTCATACAATATCATGATTGTGCTTTCATGATCTATCTACTCTCGTAGACTCGAACGGCAGAATTCGATAACCGAAATTTTCAGGCTAGACTAAAATGAGTGCATGCGACCCTGAACGCTATAACCTCTGCCCCTTTGTACTCAGCACTACCCTATATTGGGCCGAAGAGATTCAAATAAAGCGGAAGAAAGGGAGTGAAAAATGAAGAAAATATCGCAGTTGGTCGAGTGTTTTCGGACACAAAATTGCCAGTAAAGAACAGTTAAAACACTGAGAGCTGTTCCTGTCACTCGATGTTTTGTCTATCCCTCTTCACTCTTCTACTCTTTTTCTTCACTGTGACTCGTGTTAAACCCATCCTCTCACCCTGCTCTCGTCATCAAAATTCTCAATTCTTAAGGAGTCCAAGCCACCGCATAACCACCTGCGAGAGATCAAAATGCACGACTGCCTTATTGAAGTGACCCGTCTCGAAGACGGCGAGTCAGCTGTCTTCTGGCTTGGAAACTACATTGATAGTAAAACCCACATTATTCCGGACGGAACATTTGACTCATACATGCTGGATTACGACAAATTTGAAAAAGATCTGTATGAGCACCTCGGCTACGATTCCCTCGAAGATGAGATCCGTTGGGACCACAGGTCCCCTTCCTAGTCGCGTGCAAACCCGGATGACCCTCATGCCTTTGCTATTCGAAGCTATAATACGTGGGTGGCCGCTCTTCTGGCCATGCAACATGCTTCGTCAGGCCAGGCCAACTTGGGCTCTCACCATACCTCGACTACTACTTCTCTGATGATGACCGCACACTTTGCTATCGTATAAAATAAGTAAGTAACTCCTCTCGGGCTTCATCGAAGAGCGTGTCAGCTAATTATTGACTTCGATACAAAGATGCAGATTCACAAAGCAACGACTAGTGAGCCTGAATGGGTGGCGAAGAGATCGTTGCACGACGGAAATTTCTTTTCAAACATAGCAGCAAGCGATAGAATTGTGCCTTTCGTGGTTACCTGCGATGGGAGAAGTGTGGCATAATGTACCTTGCACCGGTGCATGCATGGTCACGGCGAAGAGAAAGCTAAGGGAGATATCTAGCTATTTCGAAACCATGAAATGAAAATCAGGGTTTATCAATACTATCTCTCCTTTGTAACATTAGTGTGCTCTACCCAAGGTGCCAGATGTGTTTGACCCGTAATTTGACGCCCATCGTTCCCATCTGGTTTGTTTTTACTGTTCCCCAATCCGACCTTTACCTGCTTGCCCACCCTGTTTGTCCCTTCTCTAGTCAAACTTACGTCAACCTCACGATATCTTCATTGATACCGAGCCTACAATGGCATCCGACGACCCTCGCGATTCCCAACCGACCGTCTTTCGGCCCACAGTCCGCGATGGCATGATCGTCGTGCGCCGACCTGCGAACAATAACGACACGGCTATTTTCTGGGCTGGCACCTACTTCGTTCTTCTAAATGGAGCCAATGAGGCCGTCGCCATGGACTACCCTGCGTTCCTTGCCGACCTGGAAGCCCTCCTTCAGTACGACCCAGAACTGGATGAGATCCAATTCCATATACCCTCCCAATACCGACGCGTTCCTTTGGCCCCTGACTTGCGTGGCACAAACAATATCCAAGGCTTACAGCCCGAGGTAGGCATTGTTCGTACCTACAACCAGTGGCTTATAGCCTTGGCGGCGATGCAAAACTCTCATCTGATGCGGGAATCGAGCATTGAATGCGTGCTCCGGAATGGGCTTGTGACTAGCTCTGTTCGCCACAGTGTTCCACCTGTGGCTGCGGCGCAGTTTTTCATTGTGCGAATTGCAGGTATCGTGTCTTCAGTCCCCCCATCTGATACTACAGTCTTTGTCTCTGATAACTATATTTTAGACGCGGAAGATTGGAACCAGGAGGGAGATGATAACAGTGTTCAAACTTAAGACCGAGGCTATACCAGATGGACTCGAGGAAATGGAGGTATCAAATCAGAGAATATCCAAAGGGAGAACGGGAATATAAGAGGGCAGACGTCGGTGAACGGCGAAGTCGGACTTGACATCCTCCGCCCCACATATGAGAACGAGAATACAAATATCCAACTTTCATCTCATATTTCCCAGTAACCTGCTACATATTTCAAAATGGCCTCCATAATCCCCTCCCAGGAAGACCTACAGAAATTCTACATCGGCAAAGGCATCAGCGATGTACCCAAACCAGCCGCCGTCCTCGATGTAGCAATAATCCGACGACACTGCGAGACAATGCTACGCACAATCAAAACACTCGATGTCGGATTCAGAGTTCATGTCAAGTCTCACAAGGTAAGAGGAGCTGAATACCAAATTCTTTTCCAATTACACTCAACTTATGAACACCAGACACCCGAGATCGCCAAGCTCCAAGTCGGAGATAGTACCGAGGCCAATTTCATAGCCTCCACGGTTTTGGAGATCGAGATGATGATCCCTCTACTACAGGAGCTGAAACAAAAAGGTCGCAAAATTAACATTCTCTACGGCATCCCCCTCGTCCCATCACAGGTTCCACTGCTAGCCAAGGCAGCCCGCGAGCTAGGCGAGAATAGCATCACTGTGATGATCGACCATCCAGACCAACTCTCCTACCTGGAGAAACTATCTTCTTTGTCAGGACATCCAGCTTGTGTCTTTGTCAAGGTCGACACGGGCTACCACCGCGCTGGCTTACCGCCCGTATCCCTCAACAAGAACGGGTTGCTTGAGAAACTTTCCTCCGCCGAGGAAACAGGTGGGGCAAGACTCCTCGGTTTGTATTCACACAGCAGTCTGAGTTATAGCGGGACAACTCCAGAGCAAGCGATGGGGCATTTGATCAGCGAGATCCGCGGATGCAAAGATGCTTTGGAGAGAAACTTGCATCTACTACCCAAAAGGGAACTGGTCATTAGTGTGGGTGCTACGCCGCAGGTAGTCTCGTCCCAGAACTTGTTGGGTGAAGACTCTCCTTATACGGAAGCGCGAGAGCTCAGGACATTACTTCGCGAGACAAATGTCGAGCTACATGCTGGCGTCTATCCCATCCTGGATATGCAGCAGTTATCTACACATGCTAGTGCATGTTCTGGGTTTTTGGAGGACGAAATTGCTATCTCAGTGCTCACCGAAGTGTGCAGCGTTTATAACGATGGAGAGCGTGAAAAGCCCGAGGCGCTCCTGGCTGCAGGGACGCTCGCACTGGGCCGGGAGCCGTGTCCGAGTTACTCGGGCTGGGGGGTTGTTTCTTCCTGGCGATTGGATGGAGTTGACAAAACTTCATCGGAGAGATTGGTGGTTGAGAGGATCAGCCAGGAGCATGCAATTGTGACTTGGGAGAATGAGTCCCAGACGAAGATTCCCCTACGCATTGGACAAGTGGTTAAAGTACACCCTAATCATGCTTGTGTCACCGGTGCCTTTTATGGATGGTATTTCGTTGTCGATTCGGATCAAGACAGCGAGGCTACTCGTATTGTGGATGTTTGGGTTCGGGCGAGGGGGTGTGGTATGAGGGCCTGGTAGAGTACGCCTGCAGTTTCGGATATCTTTCGTTATGAACTAGTGTCGTCGCAGTGCATACCTACATAGTGATCGCTATGCATTGCAATAACTAGTGTTTAATTGAAGAATGAGCAAATTAACATCCACCTTCGCATAAGGGAATCTGATTGCCCGTTTCCTTATAATTTTGAGCTCTCGGTGAGCCATATATCTCCATAAAGCTGTGAATACGTGCTTGGAAATCGGCAACACAAAGCAAACATCAACATCATGAGAATCTTTGTCAACAAGTTATACAAACTGAATCAACCCCGAGGGAGTCGTTTCATGTACCGAAATACATAATGCCCCCATGTCCTATTATCGCCACTACTGAGTGGCGTAGGCGCATACTGATCCAAGTCGACATCAAGCGTTCCTATGACCTCGAACCCAGACTTTTGGTACATCTGCCAAGCACCCTCTGATGAATGTACCCATATAAAGACGTTTGCCTTATCTGCTTTCTCTATACCCCATTTCAGGAGGGCAGATCCGAAACCTCGGGACTGCCACTTGGGTGCCACAGAGAGCGAGCTGACAAACATGCATCTGATGCCGTCGGGCATAAGCCGATCCATCCAGTTTTTGAGATCCGCGCCGGTCAACGCTTCGAGCTGCTTGATTGGATCATCTTCCACCGACGCCCTTCCTATCTCTTCTGGGGGAGTGTTGTCCTTCTCCTCTGCCTTGTCGGCCTTGCAGGGCTGAAGAGTATGAGGCTTAGACGTGGTTGCAATATTAGGCTGCATCTCTGAGATCTCGGTATGACTGAAACCTCGAAACCCCCAGGATATCCAGCCGGCGATCTCCCCGGATTCCTCGTCGATCAGTTTCAGGATGATTGTGTTGGGGGATGCGATTTGTTGAGGAATACTGGTTTTCATTGACTGCTCCAGATTGTACGGGTTCTTCCCTAGGGCTTTCAGTTGTGTATTACGGTCATTGTGGAAAGAGTCGCCGCAAATCTTTGCAAGGGCACAGGCGTCAAAATTACAGGCTGGCTGGATAGAGAATGTCATTATGTCTGTTGTTAGCGAAAGGCAGAGATAGAGGGGAAGAGAATAAAGTACGAAATTGTTTGGCCCCAGGCACCCACTAGTGGCCTAGGGCACCCAGAGAACTATAGTTAAGATGGCTCTGTATTCATCGATTTCTTATAATAGTAGACTACTAAGGAATTTTATGTAGTTAGCTATACTGCATTTCAGCCTGGTATAGGTTGTACCAAGTGAGTATTCCATTGATAATCGGGAATTCTTCAAAGAGCAAGAAAAAAAGCAGGAAGAAATAAAAAGGGATGATAGATGCAGATACAAGCTTTGTTGCCCATTTCGGCGTTTACTAAGCTAGGCTTAAAAGACGGTGTGCGAAGGAACTCCACCCCTTCGAGAGCCAGTTCCTTCTCTACAGCTAACACCATGGCCGCTCATCACGCGAGTCGGGTTAAAATCCCTCCTGCGATTCTAGAAAACAAACTCTCGTTGGCCCGCCGGCTACCGGAACTTAGCGAGCCACAGTTGCGAGAATGCCTTGATCACACTATCCGTGATAATTGTGATATCCGTCATTTCTATGATGTTATGCTTAATGCTATCAGCTCAAATAAGGTGTACCTCGTGAAGGAGCTACTCCGATATAAATTACCTATATCGCCAATCTATATACTCGAAGCTATCAACGCTAAGGCGAAAGATATCCTAGCAAGCTTCTTCGATAACGGCTGGGATATTAACACCCTAATGAGTGGAATGGAACCTCCCATTCTTACGTGAGGAACCCTTTCACCCTTCTTATAAGATCTTCCTAGCTAACATTTTATCTAGTAATGCTCTTGAGGACTGAGAGATAATAATATGGCTCCTTAATCGTGGCGCAGATCCTGATACACGATATGATATCGATGCTATCCCGCTATCCTATGCTATTAGATACGCTGATTTATTAACCGTTAGTCTTCTCTTATACCGTAGTGGGGATATTAGAATAGGCCAGCTTATCTATAATGCGATTCATCGCAAGTCCGACACCCTTAAAGTGGTCGAAATTCTTATCAATCGAGGTGCCCCTTTCAATTCTCTTTTGTACCAGGACCATCAGTATTCTCAAAACATGTTTCCTTTTATGACCAAAACTCCTCTACACACCGTAGTAGCTCTCTCTTGAGATGACGTTATTCGTTATCTAATTCACAGAGGTGCAAGTGTCAAAATCGAAGATTGCAGGGGCCAAACAGCCGTACAGTCCGCAGATAAAGAGACTAGAATACTGATCATGCAAGAGATTCAGAACAACAGCACGTTGCATGGAAGTGCTCGCTGTCACAAGCACTATTCCTACGCTAATGTACGGGCGACTAAGTCTACCACCAGGGCACAACTCTCCCATTGGATAATATGCTAGTAGTAATTTAGTAATCCACCCTCACTTCTAGCCCTGTCAGAGCAACTAGGAACTTAATTTGTATTTGCATCTAGATCTCACACGATTGTTAATGGGTTTATCTTTTGGTCACATTGATTGCAACTTAGGTCTTTCGCAGATACTCTCGCCCTAAGCTCATATTGGACGGACCATCGATTATGTCCACTGCAGTCGTGTATCTCTGGCCAAATGAAAGAGGCAGTGCGGTTGGAAGCTAATAGCTAGTGGAAGCAGAAGGGACAGAGTAATTAGAAAAGACCGAGGACGATATCGTTTCTTTTATTCCGGTGACATTGGAGGTTGCTCACGCGACAATGTATGGGGCTACGTTGCTCACATCTCCATGGTAATAGAAAGAAAGATGAGCACTGATTTTATTCCTTAGTTCAGCTAGTTATTAAGTCGCAGCGAGGAAGGTAGCAAGAAGGCAAGTAAATAGCAATTTGATAGTAAGAAAAGGATCAAGATCACAAAATGTAAGCAGTTAGAGCCAGAGGTGCTTCACAACAGATAGAACAAATAAAATACGACAAATTGATCATGAACCCAGCATCGAAAGGTAAGTGAGGCCTAATGAAGGGGATATAAGGATAAGCCTCCTACCTCCTTAAGCATTGCACGAACACTTGTTTCAAGCGCCTCCAGTTCAATTTCCAGTGGACATGAACGTCCAGCTTCACAGTTGTGTTTCAAATTTTGCTTGGCATTGGATATGTGCAAGACGTGACTTGAGGCGTCTACTGCCGGTGGATATGGCCAAGCTCTGGCCCTCCGTAAAGCCACGAAGTACTCCGATACCCTGTGATCGCTGGTGCAATATTTGGGAGACAGATTGACATTGCTGCAATGATGACACTTCTTTGCTGGCATTGGATGTGCTCTTCCGCACTCCATGCAGACCTTTCCTTGCATATTGTAGCATGTTTGAGAAGTTGTTCAACAGATTGAACCCTGCGGTGCATCTCATCGAGTATTGCTTCGACATTCTCCGTCAAATCGCCTGCTGCTTATTAGATGATATTTCATGATTTCTTTGGAAAAGAAAACTTACTTATGAGGGGATCGGGTATCCTGTTCAATATTTGACAATCCTCCCACTCGATAGCGAATCTAGGAGATAGATCCACCTGAGCTTGCAGAGTGAGTTCATCGAAGCTCTCCGGACTTCAGAGTAGATGAGCAGCAACAATCAGATGACCGAATTCTTCCGTTGATGGAGTAACATCAAAATTATGAATCCAGGTTGACACCCACGGGCGAAGTGCCTTCACGCAGTCGTACTTGTCGCCGTGGATGGTGAGGTTGGCAATACATTCAGTATCTCTGCCAGGCACTTCTTCTGGCTCCTAAAAATGGAGTATAGCAAGTAATGCACTCATCATAGCCGGGTCATCGTCGTGCAAATGGAGCTCGGGGCAGGTACAGGTCGCCATTTGCGTTCCTTCGTAGAAATTTGGCCCGAATAGTTTCGCAAATACCGGGGAAGCAAGACTGAGTACCTTAGATGATACAAGAAAGCGTCTTGTATCATCTGGAGATTCACCCTCGGAAACAATGATAACGTCGCCATCTGGGTCAAATCGTTCAATGCCGGGACCAAGTTCTTGAATGTCTGCTGGTTCTTTGCTCGACATTTGGACCCTTGTTTGAGAAACTTCGTAAGGGGGAGGGAGCGCGAGTCAATATGAAGGAGAAATTTTGATAGGTGATGCACGTACTGCGTGAGGAAGGAGCAAGAAGTGATCAAGAAAGTAATGAAGATGAGGACCTACTGTAATGAAGCTCTTTATATAGCTCCATAAGAAAAAAGAACAAAGGCCTGAAACCCAAAACAAGGGCCAAACATAAATCTGACATGGTATAAGACTATTGTCTCTTATTTTTGTAGAAAAAGCCTCTGCATTTGCATAACGGCAGAGGGAAACCTAACCAAATAGGGAAAACCTCAACCAAGACAAAGTATCATATATCAAACATCAACATCCAGATCCGCATCCCCACCCGCGGCAAATTCTATGATAGTAGCAAGAGGGTTATAGAATTCCGACGTTTTCTCAACTTGATTTCCACCTTCCCTTGCTATCGCAGAGGCGACAAAGACGACAGAGAGGATAGCGAAAAGCTTCATGTTGAGGGATGTTTTCAAGGCGATGAATAGTAATAAAAGATTTCGGAAAGAGTATCATTGAGTACGTATTACCACGTGCTACATTACACCCAGTCCGGCTTGATGCATTCGGATGATCTTCTTCAGGTCCCGAAATGGCCCTGTAGATCGACTCTAAAGGATGACTCAGCGGCTTTGACCGCGGCGCGGGGAGATAAAAAAAAAGCGATAACATTCCCCACAATATATCGAATGTCCCTCATTTCACGATTTGAACGCTCGTTTTGCGCTTTTCATTTTGATCTAGCATGACAATCCGCAATCCTCTTCCACTCTCTGAGGAGTGGAAGGATCCCGACGAATATGTCCAGGCCCTCCTCTCCTTTGCAACTGAATCGGTCATGTTCATGAATGTCTGCGGTGGCGTGCATATCCTCGATTTCTTGACGCGCGATCCCGATCTTTACGCCTCATTACTGCCAGAAGACTGGCGATCATTCTTTGACAATCACGATATTCACAGCATCTTGGAACTGCTCCTACGAGAGGACATTAGCCCGCTGTGCGAACCCGAAACAAACGCAGCCTCCGAGAATGGCAGGACTTGGAACGGAGGTGCATTTCCGCCTGCGAGCCTCCTGGAGTATATTCGGAACATTCGACGACTGAGCTTCCGCCGCGAGTTCACCACACCGGAGAAGAGCGAACCTCTCCCGAGACATATTGCTGTCGGCATGAACAAGAAGAAGAAGCACGAGGTAGAACAATTCTCTCGTTATGTCGCGTCTTTGTCGGAGACGGTCAACGAGAGTCGTGGGGAGCCATTATCTCACATTGTCGATTTTGGATCGGGACAAAACTACCTGGGGCGCATGCTGGCAAGCTCGCCATATCATAAACATATCATTGCCATTGAGCGAAAGCACCAATACATAAGCGGTGCTAACCGTATGGATGTCCATGCTCGACTGGCCGCGGAAGAAAAGAAAAAGACAATCCATAATGCAAAGCTAAACAAACTGAAAAGGCAATGCATCGACTGTACCGACACCCCAGAACTAACCCCAGACCTGGCCACTTCGAAAAAGCCTGAAGTTCCTGACTCGGAGGTGGGAGCACCACTGGAGCTGAACGACGCAGTGTCAGAGGAGCCTGCTGGGCAGGATGAAGATACCACGACCTCTCACATGCTAGGCGAGATGACCCTAGAAGCCGATGATGTGCTCGGCTCAACGTCCAAAAAACCACACCAGCCACACACACCAAAGCCACGACCGGAGGTCGATACCCGAGGCACAGTCAGCTACATCGAACATAATATCCAAGATGGCTACCTGGAACCGATCATCGAGCACGTCGTCGACCCAAAGACGTCAGTTGAAACCCGGACCAGCACAGAAGAAGTCATTAAACCCGAAGAAAAGAAAATGAGTGACGCCCGGGTGATGGTCGTCTCTCTGCATTCATGCGGAAACCTCGTTCACCACGGAGTCAGATCACTAGTGCTCAACCCTTCCGTTGTAGCAATCGCCATGATCGGTTGCTGCTACAACCTTTTGACAGAACGATTGGGCCCAGCAACATACAAAATCCCCATCCTTCGATCCGCCCACCCGCGCCTCAAACGAACCGGATCTTCATGGGACCCGCACGGATTCCCAATGTCCAAGCTCTATGAAAACTACCAGGCAAAGACTACAACAGGCTTCAAGCTCAACATCACAGCCCGCTCAATGGCAGTCCAAGCGCCCCACAACTGGGGCCGCGCCGACAGCGAAGGTTTTTTCACGCGCCACTTCTACCGCGCTTTGCTGCAGCGTGTTCTTCTAGATCGTGGCATTATTCCTAAGCCGGACGTCCCCGATGACCTCTACAAAGACCACGCAGATGATCCCGACTCCGGGGGTATCGCACTGATCGTGGGATCTCTGCGCAAGACCGCATTCGAGTCTTTCCCTGCGTATGTGCGTGCCGCAACGGTCAAATTGAGCCGCGATCCGACCCGCGGCGAGTTGATCAAAGAGCGCATCTGTACCATGTCTGAAGAGGAGTTGCAGCGCTATGAAGCAGATTACTTGCACACGCGCAAGAATCTCAGTATTGTGTGGAGTCTGATGGCGTTCAGTTCTCAGGTTGTTGAGGCTGCTATTGTGGTTGATCGCTGGCAGTTCTTGCGCGAACATGACTCCGTCAAGGAGTGTTGGGTTGAGCCGGTCTTTGAGTATGGCCAGAGTCCGCGCAACCTGGCTGTTATTGGAATCAAGAAATGAGTTCTGTTATGGTTTGGTTTTCGGTTGCATTTAGATACAGTGGGGAGTTTGTGCTTTGGGGCTTGAGGCATTTTGTGGGTTCTGGGGAGTCTCAGTACATAGCTGGTTTACATTTGAACATGGATGCATAGAACGTGGGGATCAAGAACATATCCCTTGGACTGTGGAGAGGCTGCTACAATGCTTTTTTTTTAGATATCTGCCTGGGTGGTTATGATTATACATGAATGTAACCTGTCGCCGACTGCATATATGCATTTCAAAACTTGGTGCGGGCTATGTCCTGCCATTTTCCGCCTATGTATCAATAAACCTCACACCGACATCGGAGCCTGAGAAAGAAGCATCTACCTCGGTACTTGCCTTCAGCCTTGAGCTTCTGACGCGAGATGGCTAAATTATTCTATCTGGGTACGCACACACATAAGAGGTTTGAATAGAATGTCATTAGATTCACAAGATGATTTCGTACAAATACTATTATCTTCTCTTTACCAATATCCCAACCATTCTGTGCCTATACTCTCTAGGTCATCAAAACATAAGACATAACGTATGTATCAAAAGGCAGTCCACTTCGTTCCACAAGCTGCTGCAACTTCTCGCGCCGGTCTACCAATCATCCCCTTCCAGAATTCAGAAGTACCAGAAGGAACGAGCTCTTCAATCTCCAAAGATAGCAAAGCATCAAAAGTCCAGTCTTGACACCGGCCAATGGAATCTCTCGGGGCTGGCACCTTTTCAATAACTTTAATCACGTCGTGTCGTTGTTGAGACGTGAGATCGGCAATCTTGCACATCCCCACTGCCGCCTTATCGATGATCTTCGTCGCGTACCGAGGCGCAAATCCGTACCACAGCCTGTCCGAATCGATGACCTCGACTTGGAGGAGATCGCCGAATTCCAGATTCCCGGGTTTGTTGATCATGAACCCCCAGTGGGATCGGTGTGTGGGGCTATCGCCGGGCCCGAAGACTTCTATTGAGAGGTTGTAGGTCATGTTCTATACGGTCAGTCCGAGTTGGTTTTCATGCACTGTGATGACCTCGTACCTTTTTCAAGTAATTTTGGTGTGTATGCAGAACTTCCGCGGATAATTTCTTGCGAGATGTGGTCTCGTAGCTTGGCAACCTATACCAATGAGTATTAAGATCAGATGACTTGGATGTGATCGAAATTGACGAATGCGAGAACCCGACCAATTGTGCGTGGTCGATAGGCGCCATAGCCCCTCTTTGACTGCTCGAATATGCCACTACAAAACATATCACATCTGTAGAATATTGACAGATCTCACTAAAAATTGATATGTTCACCACAATCGAGGTCATTGACGACTCATTTTCCAGGTGCCAGGAACACGCCAATTGCGTCCTCTAGCTCCCCTACACCTCTCATCTCCAACACCCAGATATTCAATCCAGAAAAACCAAATCATTAACTAAGATCCAATTTTATACATGTAATGTCGTATGTTCAACTAATCTCCACGCTCCCCTCAGGCACACCCTGCCTACTCCTCAACCTGCGCGCAAAGAACTGCATAACAGGCATCATCTCCTCACGACTCGACGGCATCCCATCCCCCTTCCTAGCATACCGGCTCACCTCAACGAACTCAAAAACCTGCTTCGTCCTACGCACCGCCTCATCCGAAACAGCCACCGAATCCCTCCCAGCAACCAGCAAAACCGGCGACCGATTCTTATCACCAACCCTGGATCCAGATAACGGATACGGCGCCCCGATAGAAATAACTCCAGAAAGAGCACCGACCTCACCACTGCCAACATTACCATTACCCTTCAACCCGAGCTCCCGCGCAATAGCAAGCGCAGCCATCCCGCCCTGCCCGAAACCTAGCACCATAATCTCGCGCAGCGCATACCCGCACTTCTGCACGAGCGTCCCGCGCACGACGTCCGATACGAGCTTTTTGGTGCTGCGCGTGAGACCGGCGTCCATGTCTAGTGCGCCTGTCGCGGAGTCGAAGGAGACATCGTCGCCCCAGTGGTAGCCGCCCAGGTCGAAGGGGAGGGGAGCTGTGCCTTGGACTGTGACGATTGTTGTTTCGGGGAGGCGAACGGCTTCGGCGAATTTTGTGAATGATGCGGCTGTGTCGCCGAGGCCGTGGAGGAGGAGGAGGATGTTTGGGGCTGGGGTGGTGGATTGGGAGGGGGAGGGCGGTGCGGGTGTGACGGTGACGGTGAGTTCAGATGGGAAGTCGGCTGGGGTGGGGTTTTTGGTAGGCATTTTGGGTTGAGTTGGGTTGAGACAAGCTGAGCTGAGTTGGAGCTTGCGGAGCTTGAGCTCGGAGAATCGTGCGGGGTGTGGCTGAAGTCCGTGGTAAGTGTGGCTTAGACTTCAGCTTGCAGCCTCGGAAGGTTGTTAGTAAGGACAGGGCAAGGAGTACGGAGTACTCCGTACAAGGTATAATGCCGATGTATACTCCGTACTAATATTACTCCGTATATTGCTCACGGATGTACGGAGTACTCCGTAAAAGTCTCACATTAATTAGGATCAATTTCAAGGTGGTGTATTGTGATTGTATTGTGGCTGCCTGGGGTTGATTCGAGATATTGAGATGTTCAATCATGCTAAGGAGAAACAACCCTCTGCCATTGCTTTCAAGCTGTGCTCTACTAAAGAGTATAGTATAGTATAATTGATCTAACATATGTGGCGTTTCATATAAGGAACCTGACCATACACGCTCATAATGAACATTGTTTTCTTTTTTCCTTTCAAAATTTTAAACTACGATATATACATATCCCAGACCTAGACATGTGCTGACGTGATAATTATGTATCTAGGCCCATGTGCAATAATCAAAGAGTGCTATTTTAGTCCAAGTGTGGCTTGATATCCGACATGTTCCAGTACGTAATTGGTTTGAGGCGAGCCCCGTATTGTATCAGAAGACACGTTTGAGTTCGATTTTATCAATACGGAGCACATCTTGAAATATCCTCTACAAAGTCACTGCTGAGGAGGTAATTGCACGCGAGGACATTCCACGTTCACCGCCACTTTCTCGTGGCTAGTGTTGCCGGGACTCATAAGGCGACAACAAGCCTTGGGGAGAAGCTTGGCTCGGCTAAACCGGGCTCTTGGTGTCTTGGCTTTCGATAAATCAGTTTCTAACTTTCCAACTGTGTAATGAGTACCGTATAATGAGCCTACAATGGAGCTAGTATTGTCTGTGTCCTCTCCTTATTCGTTTATTTATAGTGGGGTAGGGCTGAGACGACCCATTCAGGTGCATCAGATCGGCGCATTATTGGATATCGGGACAATTCGTAACGCCGAGAGGGTACAACATACTGTATGCTCAACGTGTTAGAAAGCACCCACGCAAAGCAGGATTGGATTGGTAGTACAGTATACATCGTACACAATGTAACAAGGTGTTAGTTATGCGTTGTTGAGTTGGACGGTTGGATATGTATGTAGAATGTTCCTCAGGCAACCCCTGGACCAAACATCAGTACTGGAGACCAAAAGGTCATTCAGCTGGGACCCGTTAAAAGCTAAAACAACTCCTGGCGGGGATCATGATAGAAAGTCCTCCGAGTCCATCACCGGCCAATGAAGTCGTAGACTAGCGACGCGGTGGTGCCGATAATCTCACCGCAGCTCCCAATGAAGTTGCCTCCTGGTCGCCCGAGATATCCGACAACAATCACAATGTACGGAGTAAGCGCCTAGCTACTTCACCAGCCACCGGCCAATACCCTTCAACTCATGTCTGATTCGTGCGCTGGATGGGGGTATTCGCTCCATCCTCTGACATATCTACATCTACAACGTACAAGCGCTGTAGGACCGGTCAGCCACTATTCTCGCAGGATGGTGGGGCCACTCGAGCTGAGACAGAGGGGAGAAAGCCACTCCAAATCTTAGTACAACGTGGACTACGTAGCCCTTCTGGAGTATTCCGTAGTCTGGCTCCTCTTGCGTATAAGATCCCCTCATCCCCCTCGCTACTACGTTACACACCTCGTTTCTTCCATACTATACAACCCTACTCTCACTTTCCTCCTTTTTATCTATACATATTCACAATGGCTTGGGGCTGGGGTAAGTCCAGATTTCCTGCGGAGTAGAGACGCACCTGAACCCTTACTGCTTGCATGCACTCGGGCCCGACCCGACCTGCATAGCCGGCGATATCCCAACACCACTCTATTGGCCATGAAAGCGAGAGCCATGCTGACGCCAAGATAGAAGAATCCGAGAGGGCGCACCAGGAGGTGTACAACGGTGAACAACATCACGAGGGCAAGTTCTCTCACGAGTTCGCCGCTGGCGCTGCTTCTTTTGCCGCCATGAAGGCCTACGAGGATCACGAGCGCAAGGAGGGTACGTGAAACACCACATCACATTCCCAATTTGAGATATCCATGAGCAATTTTCTGACTTGGATTTGAACAAACAGGCAAGCCGGTCAGCCATGCCTTCGCCAAGGAGCTCATCGCCGGAATCGTCGGCGGCGAGGTCGACAAGCTCGCCGAGACCAAGGGCATGGACTGGGTTGACCGCGAGAAGGCCCACCGCCACGCCAAGCAGAACGCCGAGCACATGTACGAGGAGCGTTATGAGCGTGGCAACTACTAAGTCACTCGTCTCGGCGATGGATGAATAATGAAACCTGTTTTATGAACACCCTGTGATCGTATGTAGTAAGAGAGAGAATCAGAGATGTGATGTATCGAACAATTTGATCACCTTAACCTCGTACCTGGAAAGAGCGGTGAAGTAAGGCATCGAATAACATCCAAGTTAGATATCGATATCGAACATCGTATATATGTACGGAGAACCGAGTACGGAGTACGATGCACGAACTTGCAGCGCATAGTTCCGACAAGACGTACGTAGCCCTATACGTACGTATACCTACATCGAAGGCACTCAATATGCACCAGAAAATATGCGCCAAGCTTTAACAGGGATGCCGGGGCTTTTTTTAGGCCAGTAATCACCATGAGAACCCACCGGCCGCATTCCGGCCACATTCCAATGCTGTCGTAGCTTAGATAGGAGACCAGTCGTTGGATCAATCGCCGATGTATTGCGTCGTGGATGTTTGCTTTTCGTAATATATAGAAATTGTTTGCGGGACCACTGCAGGGCTGAATATTGGATCAGCCCTGGAGTATGGAAGTGAGGATATTCCCAGTTCATAGATTCCCCTAACTTTAGTAGGAATCTGGCCTTGTGGGGTCAGATCCAATCATAGCCAATCAAAGTACAAGGATGACCGATAGTGGGTTGTTAGCCTGACAATCCAGGCGTCCAAAGCTGATGAGCTCATACACGTGCTAAAAGTATAGGGTCAGCTAAAGAGTTTTGCGGCGTTGCAGTCTCTCTGGGAGATTCTCGAGTTTTATATATCGTCGCGGAATTTCTATTTATTTTTTTCTTCGAGATTCTTCTTTACACTGTTCGTCCTTCCCTATATCTCCTCAGGGCTTTGAGCTTGGATTTATTTTCGCTCAAGCTTTTCGACCCCTCACACTTGTGTATCGAAACCGGCACAATCAAGTCTAAAACTGTATGAAATGACGGTGGTTCGTTGTTCAGGATGAAATTTGCCAAGTTTGTACCCCCGTGACAGTGGCAGTGTGCGACATTCCAGTGGCTGACTCAATCCCCAGAGAGCTAGAACAGGAACTTGTTCCTGAATGGCGGGCAAAGTATCTCGACTACAAGGTAGGTCATTGTCGCCACTTTTATTGTGTCGCAGTTGCGCTTACCTGGATGTATTTAGACCGGAAAAAAAAAGTCAAGGCCATCACTCGGGCCCTCCAGAAGTCCCACCGCAGTCCTCATGTCTCGTCCAATCGATATCCCACTCCCACCCCGCAAGGTCGCGGCGCATCACACTCTGCTCTCACGCCTTCCAATACCGATAAACAGCTCGATGCGACAGCGGATGGTTTCCCATCGACTCCACAGCGAAATGGCGCCAACTCGCCATCAATGACTCGCTCCACGCCGGTGCCCAGAACCGAGCGACAACCACTTCGCACGCCAGGATCGCGGTTCTCTGAAAATATCGGTAGTTATGGAAGCATACTCGCAACGCCGCCACCACACCACCATACCGCAGGTTCGGACGTAGCTTCTTTTGAACTTCCGGACCCGGCGCTTGACCCAGATGAGGAGTATCTGCCACACGAGGATATTGGAGAGCGACCCAGACACCTACGGACACCTTCGCCGGTCATGGAGCGCCGTGGTATAGCAAACGGCTCACCCTCTCATCCCATTTCAGAGCCCTTGCCGGCCCAGAGACCCCAATTAGACCAACGGGCGAGCTATCAAAGTCAGATGGGTGACGCCTTGACAAAGGTGACGTCGGGCAACCGGACATCACAGCTTCTGCGGCGTGTGTTTACAGCGGAGGGAGAGCCAAGCGGGAGACGACCACAGTTTGATTCTGGCGCTGGCGCCGAGTTTGATAAACGCCAAGACGAGTTTTTCGAATTCTTGGATAGCGAGTTGAACAAGATCGATTCGTTCTATGTGATGAAAGAGCAAGAAGCCACCGAGAAACTGCGGGTACTTCGCCAGCAATTACATATTATGCGAGACCAGCGCATCCAGGAGGTCCTGGCTGCTAAGAGAGCCATCAAAACTGGTAACCCCGAGACACAGCAACGGCCAAATGGATTCGCAAAAATAAACGGTGCCCGGATCAAGGATACATTTGTGGGAAAGAATCGTTTCGGCAAGAACACGGAAGCACTGGCGCAGATGGCAACTCCTGGCATGCACCCCCAAGATCGGGAATTTATCGCCAACCGGAGAGACTTTATGCGGCGGCAAGACCCACAAAGTAATGAAGTGCCTTACCGCTCTGCTAAGCGCAAGCTCAAGCATGCATTGCAGGAGTTCTACCGCGGAGTGGAGCTCCTCAAGGGATATGCTTATTTGAATCGAACGGCTTTCCGGAAGATTAACAAGAAATATGATAAAGCGGTCAATGCCCGTCCGCCGCTCCGTTATATGTCCGAAAAGGTCAACAAAGCGGCGTTCGTTCAGAGTGAAGTGATTGAGAGCTTGATGGTGGCGGTCGAAGACTTATATTCCCGTTACTTTGAGCGCGGTAATCGCAAAATCGCCATCTCCAAACTCCGTCACACAATCAACAAGTCTGATGATTACTCGCCGAATACTTTCCGCTCTGGTCTTTTGTTGATGGGTGGGACTCTGTTTTCCATCAAGGCCTTGGTTGATGCTTCGGGAACCCTTCGTTCGGGTGAGGACACTGAACAAATTCGGACCAGTTATCTACTCCAGGTAGGTTTTTTGCTCCCTCATCTGTCGTGTAACTTCATTGACCAATCGAGCAGATATATGGTGGGTATTTCCTCATCGTCTTCCACGTCTTGCTCTTCTGCTTAGATTGTATGATTTGGACAAAGTCGAAGATCAATCATGCTTTTGTTTTCGAATACGATACCAGACACACCCTAGAGTGGCGTCAGTTGCTGGAGGTATGTCCTATTTCGCGAGCTTTGATGATTCATCCTGACAAGTACAGATCCCTGCTTTCTTCTTGTTCTTGATGGGCCTATTCATGTGGCTCAACTTCTCATGGTACAACCACATGTATATTTACTGGCCTGTCGTCCTTATTGGCTTGACGATCATAATTATTTTCTTGCCAGCCCGTGTTCTCTACCACAGGAGCCGCAAGTGGTTTGCCTTTTCCAATGTGAGTTGATATAGCATCACGTTGATGTCAATCTAGCATATCTGATCGATCTAGTGGCGTCTTTTGCTTGCTGGAATCTACCCAGTCGAGTTTCGTGATTTCTTCCTTGGCGACATGTACTGTTCTCAGACATATGCCATGGGAAACATCGAGCTCTTCTTCTGTCTATACGCCTCGTACTGGGGCTACCCTCCCAAGTGCAACTCCTCCCACTCTCGACTCTTGGGCTTCTTCCAATGCCTTCCCTCCGTCTGGCGCGCTTTCCAATGTATTCGCCGATACCTGGACACAAAGAACGCATTCCCCCATCTCCTGAATTTGGGTAAGTACATATTTGGCGTCCTCTTCTATGCTACTCTCAGCATGTACCGCATCAACCTCCACACGCGCTTCCAAGCCGCGTTCATCACCTTCGCCCTCCTCAACGCCGTCTACACCTCAGTATGGGACTTAATCATGGACTGGAGTTTGGGTAACCCATACGCAAAGAACCCAATGCTTCGGGAAGTCCTCGCCTTCCGCCGCGTGTGGGTATACTACGCCGCAATGCTACTTGACGTGGTTGTCCGCTTCAACTGGATCTTCTACGCAATATTTATAACAAACATCCAGCAGTCCGCCCTACTTAGCTTCATGGTCTCCTTTTCAGAAGTCTGCCGTCGCGGTGTCTGGTCCATCTTCCGCGTCGAAAACGAGCACTGCACAAACGTCCTCCTCTTCCGTGCTTCCCGCGATGTCCCTCTCCCCTACGACATCCCCTCCCCAGCCGCTCCCCCCTCGACGGCTCAGCGGAAGACGTCCAACTCCAAGAACAGCAGCAGCATATCTCAACACCCTTCATGTCTCCCGGTGATGTCGAGCACGGCACCCCATCCATGTCCAGTATGCGCGCCCGCCACCGCCGCCCATCGGTTACTATCAGCCGGGTCGGCACGATTGTGGCCTCAGCCCACGCCCAAGATTTCGAGCGAAGACGTCTACCAAATTTCCTGTCCAGCGCGAGTGTGGGACGGGATATGGCGCTCCGTGGAGACGATAGCACGGACGAAGACGACGAGGCGGATCTGAGCACAGATGAGGATTCGAAGTCGGTGGCTGAGGGTCAACGATCCAGACCGGTTTCAGAGCGCAGGGACACGATGGGGAGGATTGTTGAGTAGGTTTCAGAGGGCTTTGCTAATTGCCATTGCCAATGACGGGGGGATATTGTTAATCTGCCCCGGTGCATCGCTTTTGACTTTGTGAAACTATAGATATCTTTCGTATCTTGCATATACTTTCTTATCGTGCTATAAATATTAATGTTTCGGGTCAGCTTTCATAGACATACCCCAACGGATACCTGGCCCGAGTCTGGTAGTTGTTTCCTCGGAAGCGTATCCGCCTGGTACGTGCTCCTTCCTCTTCTATGAGCGGTGAGACCTGCCTCATCGGGTGTGAAGATAGCAACCTTGGAAGGTGCTCGGCCATTGCGGAGAAATTGTGAGGGGAAATTGCGTGAGGGGAACTGTCGAGTGTTTTTGGCCGAGAGCTCTGAGGCTCTGTTTGGTGGCCTGAGGCCACCAATTACAAGACCACCTGACATGTAGCTAGTTAGATCTCTCCTCTGCTCTCCTCTCCTCTCTCTCTTTTCTCTCTTCTCTCTTCTCTCTTCTCTTCTGTTCGTTCCGCTATATCTTGAATGATCGCAACAGTCTTCCTCTCCGTAGAGACCCTTGATTGTGTAACACTCCCCAGGAGTTCCCATCTAGGAAGTTGTCTCCGCACTAGATCCAGCGCGGTGAACCTAAACCCAAATGTCTCGCATCGGCCAGCCTCGGCTGTATCTAGGTCCTGCGTGGCGAGCTTGTCTTCATGGGCGAACATTGAGACTGGCCTAGCGGTGTATATCTGCGGGTCTGTGTGTTATGTGTTATGTGCTATTGTAATACCCCTTGCCTGCAAGACTCATGCAGCGCTACTAAAAGTGCCACCTCGATGCCCTCGATGCCGTCTCGATGGGAGAGTAGAGTATCGAAGCGATGGTCGTGATTGGTATGCGATGAAAGCACACCGATTTGACATCGGGATATATGAGGAGAAGCGGAAAATAATCATGCGAAAGTGGGAGAGTGAAGAAGCAAGGTCAATCTAGCGGGGCTGGTATTTTGCCATTGGTTTAATTCTCCAGCCTTGACTAGCCTCAATATATTTTTGTAATTGATAATATCCTATCAATAATGCTAGGACCTACCTATAGCGGTTACTCTCATTTTGCTGTCTTGGCGTACACCCCTGTTAGAACACCCATGTTAGGGCTTGCCCGGCAGGATTGTTTCTAGAAGGCAACATGCATGAATGCATGTTCTCACGGACTCTTCTAGAACATTTCCGAGAGGAAAATCGCGCATGAACCGACAAGGTTCGAGACTATCGTGAACGGTAAGAGATACAGATAGGATGCGATTGACAGTACATGATAATAGAAGTGGATCATACCGAGTGAACTAGTCTTAGAATCCTATCTACTATGTACAAAGTACCGTTGCTCAACGTTTCAGCTTCCACTCCATATGCTGATTCAAGCAAAAGAACGAAGCTGTAGAGTGGATAGGGCTCGTATTACAAATTTAGTCTACGGAGTCTCCGTACATAGGATAGTCTTCTAACAGGGCGTAGAGAAGTCGGTCTGATCCTGTTCATATATATTGTATGTTGTACATGGCAGGCTCGCAGTTGGCAGATTCCTATTTCGGTGTTCCGGCGACGATCACTTACCCAACCAAAGGGGCCATTGTGAATTCCACCAATTCTATAGAAGTGATACCATGAGATAGTTATAAAATGATACAAAGTACGATATACACGTGAGCGGTGACCGGCTATGGTACCCGGTCTAAGCAAATGCCTCACGGCATAGGAACCGGTTGTGAGACGCTTGGCCAGAGGAAAAGCCACCTAAGCCACCTAAGCCCCCTATGCCCCCTGTTTTTTTTTTTCCCTTTTTTTTCTTTTTCTTTTTTTCCCCTTTAAACCCCTCATATGGTACGATACTGACGTCGATAATAGCCACTCGAATATTCAGCTTATCTGAAATTGAGTAATATTCTGGTTTATCAGTAAATGCAAGTTAGACTTTTGTATCAGATTGAGAGATAACACGTTCTGATAACATTGATAAAGATGTTGTCCACCTAAATGAATGTAAGAAAGAAGATGTATAAAATATTTTACCTTGTCCTTGACCGGAGGCGTCCGGAGGCGTCCGGGGGCGTTTTTGTAGGCGTAATGTAGTTTAGTTAAGGTTGCACAATTAGTACTTCTCCGCGTCTCCCCATGGGGTAATGAAAATTATGGAGCATCCCCGTCTACCATTCACAACTCCACACCACGTTACTCCGTACTTGTCGTCATACAGCGGGCCGGTCATACATATTAGGATATTTTACTGATTTAAATTATATTTCCCAGTTTCCCAGATCTGCACTTGGGTTCTGAAACTGGGTTAGCGTATGATTCCATTGTAAGATGAGCGAATATACGCAGTATCCACATTTGGGTCTCGTTAGACCCAGCATTTACTGCATTGACTCCAATTGACTAACCCTTATCTGTTCTCTGCCCCATCCATCAGGCAGCTGGTCTGAGGAGGGAGTTATAAGCGGCGCGACATCCACCTACTCCAAGACCCAGTTTTTGTATCCGCATTGCATTCTCCAGTCTCCAATATGATGGATATGAAAAAAGAAAAAGACCTCGAGGGTCTCACTCCATCTGAGAACAGTGATATCCACCATCCCGTTCAAAATCACGATGATGTCTTTGGAGAGATCACAGACTCCGGCCCCAACTACCGAAATGTATGTTTCTTTTCTTTCTTTCCCTTCTTTGCTTTTTTATTCTCCATAAAAAAATCTCCAATTAGGCCCAAACTAACACCTTTTTAGGTAGGATGGGCAGGAACAGTGATTCTCATGATGAAGAGTCAGATCGGTCTCGGTGTCCTTTCTATCCCAGCTGCTTTTGATACGTTAGGCCTCATCCCAGGCATTATCTGTCTACTTGTCGTTGCAATCATTACAACATGGTCCGACTATATTGTCGGCGTGTTCAAGCTCAATCATCGTTCAGTCTACGGTATCGACGATGCAGGTTTCTTAATGTTTGGTGCCATCGGTCGTGAAGTTTTCGGCTTTGCATTCTGTCTCTGTAAGTCTATACAATTATAACAATTATAGATCCGCTGCTAACATATCTTCTAGATTGGATTTTCGTCGCCGGATCAGGAATGCTCGGTCTTTCAATCGCCCTCAATTCAGTTTCAAGCCATGCCACTTGCACAGCAGTCTATGTTGCCGTTGCAGCCGTCGGAGGAGTCACCTTCGCCAGTATTCGCACTCTCGGAAAAATCAGTTGGCTCGCGTGGATTGGACTCATTTGCATTCTGATCGCAAGTAAGTTATCACTGACGTCACGGGATATAACTTAGCCCTAACCCGATTCGTACTATAGTCTTCATTGTCACCATCGCTGTTGGCGTTCAGGAACGCCCGGTCTTGGCCCCGCAAGATGGACCCTGGGTATCTGATTACAAAATCATTGGCAATCCCTCATTCAGTGAGGCCATCTCTGCCGTGGCCTCGATGGTCTTCGCCTACGCCGGTACACCCGCTTTCTTCTCTATCGTATCGGAGATGCGCGACCCCAAATACTATACTCGCTCGTTGATCATCTGCCAAAGCAGCGTGACTGCTGTCTACATCACCATCGGTGTTGTGGTCTACTACTTCTGTGGTTCTTATGTTGCCTCGCCTGCCCTTGGTTCCGCCGGTGCCACTATGAAGAAGATCAGTTATGGCTTTGCCATTCCAGGTCTTCTGGTTACTGTGATGTTGTTCGTTCACGTAAGCGCTTCCTCTCTCGGTCTCTTTTCTCTATATCGATCATGAAACTAACACAATCATAGCTACCGGCCAAATTCATCTTCGTCCGCGCCCTCAGAGGCTCCAAGCACCTCACTTCCAACAGTATAGTACACTGGGGATCCTGGATCGGCTGCACCGCAGGCGTCGGTCTAATTTCCTACATCATCGCAAGTGCCATTCCCGTCTTCGACAGTCTCGTCTCGCTTATTGGTGCTTTGCTTGGCACATTCATGTGTTTCCAGCCTATGGGCTGCATGTGGTTGTACGATAACTGGAGCAAGGGCAAGGTCGACCGATCACCAAGATGGATGGCCATGGTTTGCTGGAGTGTCTTCGTTGTCGTTATTGGTACTTTCATGATGATCGCTGGTACATATGGTTCTGTTGTCAGCATTATGGACAGCTACGCGCAAAACGGAGGTTCTGCTGCTTGGTCCTGCGCGGATAACTCAAATTCTTCATAGATCGGTGGGGTCTAGAGGTCAGTAGCAGTTTCTTCTGCTGCTATGTCTGAAACGGGTGCATTAGAAATACTTATATATATATAAAGTGTGTTAAGAAATGTCATATAATTCAATATCATATAATTCAATGTCATATGATTCAATGTCATATGATTCAATGTCATATGATTCAATTTCTTCTCTGTCTTAATTTTGGGATCTGTGCTCTGGACCTTTGCTTTGTACAGTTTGGACGTTTGCTTCCCGTCACAGGTTATACATGGGAAAGTCTGACTTTGTGTTCTATGGGTTTCCAGCAATTCTTTGCCTTCTAGCCACAACGCGGTAGAAAAAGAACAAAGAAAAATGACACCTAGATAGGCCTGATTGTATAATTTAGCTTGATAGGCTAATCGCTGATTTCGCAAACTTCTCTCCTCTCCATCACTTCACCTTCACTCCTTTATATATTTATATCCCCTCGCTCTTATGAGCACGCAATAATCTTAGATATAAACTATAACCCTTAAATATGGACGGAGAGACAATACCTGGATGGGACAAGCTCCCAAATCCGACCTTTGTGAATGACAGATGGAAATGCCCAGACCCAGGTTGTAACGAAACAAGTTTGACCCTCGTGGGAATAAAGTATCACTACTTGGCCATTCATATGGGGGCTCTTTGGCACTGTGAGTACGCTGACAAGTTCAATTGCGACAGAATGTTTCTAAACATCTGCTATGCCAGGAAACATATAGAAGAGCATATCCCACAGTTCAGGTGAATATGCCAACACGATAGGTGCCTTTCTGAGATGCACGAGAGAAAACGGACATAGGCTGGTGCTTTGTTACATTACAATTTGCATCTTCGACGAGATCACTTCCAAGACGGGCAATGCCAACCACTGGAGGTATGTAACGATGAAAGAATAAATGAGCATCATTTAATGGCAATGACAGGTCTTTTCACTCGCTGATGGCAATATTAAAACTGATGATAAACAACTGGCAAAGTCGACCTTCGTTACAAAGGGAGCTATGGCGGTGCTGCAGCTGCGGATTTTGTCCGCAGAATCCAAGATGCACTTCGGGACCTCAATCAAATAGCAGGCAGTCAACTGCCCCCTATCATGGAGCTTTCTCGGTTTAAGAGAGCCATCATTGACAACCCTCGCTGTGTTGCTTTCCTTCAAAATCTCAATTTCAAAGACTCCGATACGCACTTCATGCAGAAGATCTATGTGCATCAACAAGCTTGCAATTCACTGGAAATACCAACATCTACAACTTGCTCAGAGGTGCCTTCGTCAAACTACGCGAAATACCCTCACAAGGATACATCGGACCCCTAAACCGCCAACCGTATCGAAAGGGATTCTTCATAACAGGGGGCCAAGAACCCGGGCTTTCTGGTCCATTTAGCGTGTGCTGCTAGAGGAATGGTGGCTCTTTAGAGTAGTTTGTTAACTCATATCTCTAAAGGAGTTGTCTGCACTGATGTCTTCTCTTATCTCGCCACATTTTGTGGTTGTTTTCTGTACAAGCTCTTCATCAAAAAGATAGATGTACTATCGATCATCGGTATATATTCACAAGAATAGTCGGCCGATTATGCCGCCTTCTCAGGTATTGGTAGTCTTTTTTCGCAGTTTTCTCTAGTATCTTTTCAAATGTCGTCTCTTAGATGTTTCCTCTTTCTCATTTTTATAGCTCCAAGTATGAAAACGTACAGACAACTTGATGTGTAACTGGGGATCTACGAGACCCATCCACTCAAACCCCACAAAAGTGTATACGTAAGCAACACCTGGCCCCATATTTAGCTTATCACACGTGACCCGTCACATCACTCGGGGCTCCACCAGGCTTCACTCATCTCCCTCTTCGTCGATTCATTCCAACATTCAACATCACTGCTGAGAGACCAAACGTATCTCAATCTACCACTATGGCTGCAAATACCCGATACGAGCCCGCTCCTCAGCGGGACTCCTTAGACGACCCGTCCTACTCTCAGGCCCCTCCCTCCTACCAGGCTACAGCGCAGCCAGCGGAGCCAGCGCCTCGCAGCGAGGATGACAATCTGCCAGATGACTTCAAGGTATGTACTACGCCATTTGGAGTACTTGCGCCGAGCTAGAAAGATGAAAACTGACAAACATAGTTCGGAGGCACCGTTGCCGAAGGCACGATTGACATCCGAATGCAATTCGTTCGGAAAGTATACTCCATTCTGTAAGTCCAACACGATTCACAAAGCAGATGCAAGTGCATCGATTCTACGAACTCCATACTAATATAACTCATTTAGAACGGCTCAACTCCTCCTCACAACGATCCTCAGCTCGATCTCCTTCTTCAACGATTCCTACCGCACCTGGATCCAGTCCAACTTCTGGTTGATGATAATCTCCGTCTTCGGCGCTCTGGGCTTCATGCTCGCAACATTCTGGAAGCGCAAGTCCTACCCGGCAAACCTCCTCTTCCTATCAGGCTTCACCATCCTCGAAGCATACTCAATCAGTGTGGCGACATCGTTCTATGACGCGAGGGTAGTTGTGCAAGCGCTCGCACTGACGCTTGGAATCTTCGTCGCATTGACCCTCTTCGCATGCCAGACCAAGTACGATTTCACCGACTGGATGCCATACCTCTTCGGCGCATTGTGGTTCATGATTCTGTTCGGGTTCGTGGCTATGTTCATCCCGTTCAACAGCACCATCGAGATCATATACGGTGTGCTTGGCGCGCTCATCTTCTCGGGTTATATTCTCGTTGATACGCAATTGGTTATGCGACACTATCATGTTGAGGAGGAGATCGCTGCTTCGATCTCGCTTTATCTCGATGTGCTTAACTTGTTCATGTCCATTTTGCGGATTCTGAACGGTGCTAACAACAACAATTAATTGCGCGTTGAACTGGTTGAGGGCTGAGGGAGGATATGTGCAATTTTGCCTGAATCACCTGCTTTTAGCAAGTTATGGACCAGAGGGTAATTGTTGGACAAACGAGCTTGGGTTTTGGTGTTTCTCGGAAGTGGTTTCGGATGAGGGTTTTTTTGCTTTACATCTGGCCTTGCTTGAATCGCTTTCTACTGTACACTTTTCTTCATTCATATCTTGAACTTCTGCAAGTCCATTCATTATAAGTTTACCTTGAATCCTATCTGTCTTTTCTTTCCTTACCGAAACAAAACAAATAGCCATGGTATACCCGCATTAATTAGCAGTCAACCGATATGAAGATTAAGCAACTGAGTCAAATAGATACAATTCTCCAAACGCCTAGCATGAGCAACCCAAATCAAATGAAATTGAAACTTTGCGAAGAGCAATATCCAATAGGATAAAAAAACAACAGCGAACATCTAAAGTAACGCGCAAGGGGGAAGAATATGCAAAGGGAAATGAGCTTGATGAATAGGCAAGAAAATCCAAGGAATAAGGTTCCTTGGACGGTATATGGCAGGCCCAAAGATCATGACAAGATCAGGTCCAAGCCGACAAGAGGGGGAAAGAGAAATTTCATGCAGAGACCAAGGAGTCTATTCATGCGAGACTTTAAAGAAGGTGTTCGTAATCAGGCACACAATCATAACAAGGAAGCCGTAGAGAGCCAATGCTAGGCTGAGTCGGCGAAGCAGTACCTTGCGCAAGCGGCTGCCACGGGGCAAAAGGCCACTCTCGGTCAATGAGCGAGCGAGGGAACCCTCGCCGTCGTCACATTCGTCATCATCGGAGAGATCATCCTCCGCCTCATCGTCCTCTTTCATTAAGACTTGGTGGGTAGGTGAGTCAGGCGAGGAAATTTTGTAGTAGAACAGGCCTGGGAGAATGAAGCTGATGCTAGTGCTGCCAGTGCTTCCGACGTATGCCAGTACGGATTCGAGGGAAGACACGGTCATGGCGACTAGGTAGCTCAGGATCAAGATGGTGGTTGTGATAATGGAGAAGCGAAGATCGCTCATTGGCTCCGGGGTACGCTTCCCGCGTGGGCCTAGTAATGGGTACCGGTTTGGAGAATTCTCTGTGCCATGGGCTTGTTGTCTGGGGCGCCATTTTAGGACAGCATCGACTGAAGCTCGACATGGGTGGCATTGTAGTGGATAAGAGAAGACTACTAGCATGACGATTGCGGCGCGGCCGATCGTTGCATATACGCCGGGTGGGTACATGCCGATGATATTGCCGCCTACACTGTTGCCAAAGGATAAGTATCCGGTGATGGCAACAAGGATGTATGTTGCAGCTGCGCTACCGGCGCTCGCAAAAACAACGGCAGTCGTGCGGAAATGGCTGTTATTGCCGATTTCGTTGAGGATGGAGAACATCTGGAATGCGTGTTAGAAAAGAACTCAAGGGTCGCAACTTGGAAACGCACATTTTGATGGCAAGTAAATGCAAAGACAATAACTGGCAGACTACTGAGAGTCGGAACCGCGCCGGCCCAATGGCCCACGCGAATCGGGCCCCGATCTTCCATTGTGTCTCCCTGGACAAATTTATACACAACCAGGACAACCAAATAGGCCATGGACACCAAGGCCGCAATACTGGTATACTTCAACGAATCTAGACGGCGGAGGTAGGAAATAGGAATCACGATCAACCTAAAGTCAGATGGTCAGCACGTCACCCTCGATTCGGCACATTGCACAAGGCGACTCACATAAAAGCTGTAACCCAAAAGTGGCGGTCGACCAGGAAATCATATCCCGGTTCGCTGCCAACAAATCCCTGTACCACCCCCGGCATGAGATCTCCAATGATGATGAGATAGCTCACGCCGACTCCGAAACACTTGATCGCAATCGCAGCGTCAAAGACGACGGCCGCGTTGGGGTATGTCAATTGTGATAGCGCAAAGAACGAGGCGCTTCCACGATCCAGGTATTGCGCGCATAGTGATTGCAGGTAAAGGCCGAATCCTGCGGTGACTGCAGACCACAGAACCACGCAGACGCCGAGGACAATTCCCATACGGGAGATGGCTAGGGGCATCGCAAGCACACCAGCACCGATGACTAGAGTGAGAGATTTTATTAGAATCCGAAACACCCTCATTGTTTACTTCCTTGCACTCACTGGTATTGACCAGGTTGATCACACTGCTGGCCCAACTCGCCTCACCCACGACATCTCCAGGTCTTCCACGGGCTCCACGCCTGGAATCTTAATTAGCTACAGTCAACATCAAGAGATTGTGTTCCTACCTGCGCAGTGCATTCTGGGATCCAGATGGACCAACGAGCGCGGCCTCTTCCATTTTAATATCTGTTATCTGTTTGCGGAAATGCGGTTATCGGTCGTAGATAGGCGCGCAACACATAATTAACGGCCGCTACCAGCGGGGCCGAGATCAAACCAAAAGAGAGAGAAAGAGAGTAATTTAGTTTAACTGGAAAACGGAAAAAGGGTGGAATAAGGAGGGAAAGTATCGTGGCCAGTTGAAAGCCTTATCGGGGATGACACATGACCGGCTCTTCTCCGGGACCTGTTACCTAAAAAACACTTGGCCCAGCACAGGAGCATCTGGGCATCCCTACATATTACCTAACTATATCCTTGAAATATTTGAAACATTGGATTCCTATATCCATAATTATATCTTCGACAATCCCCAGCCTTTCTGCGACATGAGTTGATAACTCTCTTCCTCAACCGCATGATGATCCGACGCCGTGTTTCCAGGTCGATTACCAGGGCCAGGATCATTGAACTGTTCGACAGCTCGCACCGTCTTTGAAACTTCCAGAATCGTACCTCCCTCCACCTTAAACTGCGGCCCACGACCCGAGCGATCCCCGATAATCTCGCCCACTTGTTCTTGCTGCACAAGCGCCAACATCACCTCCGCCACTTCTTCAGGCGTCACCCACGAATCAGTACTATCATCAACCATCTTCATCTTCTCTGGATGATCAGTCCACAGCGGGGTCTTGATAACACCGGGAGCCACGGCTGTGACTCGGATGCCAAGCTTCTTGTCGAGGTCGGCGAGCGACCTCACAAAGCCGTTGACGGCGGCTTTCGTGGCGCAGTAAATTGGAGCTGCGAGATTCGCGTTCTGGCCCGCAATGCTGGAGATATGAACGATATGCTTCGGGCGACCGCTGGTACGGTTGTTAAGGAAATGGGCAATCGCCAGCTGCGTCGTGCGGATCGGATGGGTGATGTTGATATCGATCAAAGCGTATCGGCCGCCAGAGGCCAGGTCCTTGCTTTCAGCTGAGTGAGGCGGGCGCCAGAAGTTGCTCCAGTTCTATATTTATTACAGCCGTAGTTAGACTTGTAGTTTTATTGGTGTTGTGTTTTGCCTTACCGGCTCGTAGACTCCCGCGCCCGGGCAAACAATATCAATCTCGCCGAACTCCTTCTTCGCAACCTCGAACATCTGCTCGAGCTGGACCCAGTCAATCACATTAGTCTGTTGGAAGACCACTCGTGCGGGCCCGGTCTTGTGCTTATCGGCTAGCACTTGCGCCTCGGGACGCAAGGCTAGGTCTGCGATTAGGACATTGCAGCCGTTTTCCACTAGCAATTTGGCGAAACTGAGATTGATACCTGGCTACAGTGTAAGCTGGCTGTTTGATACTGCAGTATACAGGAGACATACCGGAGCCAGCTCCAGTGATAATGGCAGATCTTCCTTTCACCGAGAGAGACATGTTTAAAGTATTAACGATTGATGGGTTACAGATTCGACTATGAGGGGGATTATGCCTTCTTTTATGCAGAAATGGACCTCGTGGAACATGCTCGGGGTCCTTTGCAGCGCATTTCCGTATCCATTTTAAGATCTCGCGGGGTAGAAGAGCATTTACCCGTCGGGGCGAGAGGAAGGTGGACCGAGGCCGGCGTGATGGCCGAGAATCCTGTACAACGAAGTCCAATAGCAGTCAATTTCCCCATTTCCCTTGGGTATCAAATCATCTGACAGTATTTCCCCTCTTGTTGGCACTGGCTTGCTCTATTACAACTTTGGGAGGGTTTTGATGGTACTTAAGTGAATTGTTCGATGGAAAACTATGCTACATGCTGCAGTTGGATCAGCAAGTGGCTCCGAGGGGCATCAGGGTAGAGCTCGGTACGCTTGCCTTTGATTTTTGAAGTCAAAACTGGGGAAAATCAGGTGGGTTGCCCCATAATTGTTTGAGGTACGGAGTATACTTGTCAAGCATAGGAACGCTCTACGAGATATTTAGATCTTCAGTAAGTCTGTTCTGTTTAAGCCGCGAAACAGCAAGCACCTATAGTGCTTAATTGATCATGTCGTTCGAGTAACAGCGTAACCTTACACCAAGTGCCGCTGGTGTTGTGGTATGGCAGTGTTCCGAAGTATAGTACTTAGGCTTCGTCACAATGCAGATCTTCCATCCCGGAAGTCTTGAAAAAATGCCGGCTTGCCGTATTCCCGAATGATCTTCTCAAAAGGCTACACTTTGAATAAAACTCAGTCGAGACTATTGCTATCTTTAGCCTCATGAATGATGGATTCTTCACGGACTGATGTCATGGCGAACAGCGGCTCGGCGGGTAGATATCCTAATGGGGTAATTAATTGGCACATCGCTCTTTCCGACAGCGGCTCGACTACCGTTTGTAGTATATTTCCGCCTCGACTGATGCATGGTATGTTCCCCACGAAAAACATATAAAGCACCGGTGAAGATCCCCGCAAAAGTTAGAATACACACTTGTGAATTCACTTCAGCCATGTCGTTGTCAAAGTTTATCTCAAAATCCGCTGTCCGAGCGGCCTCTACATCGGCCCAGACAACCAAGGCCGCCGGTGATATCTCATCGGTCTTCCCCAGTTTACGGCCCGACTACAAGCCGGAACCTCTCCCCGCACGGTTTCAGGAGCTGAAGGCGAAAATCTTCGAGAAGAACAAAGATGCCATCACGAAGAGTTGGGAGCGGTTGCTTCCTAGCTTGGACGCCGAAGTGCAAAAGATCAAGGCAAAGGGCAGCGACGTATGTGCACATTAACCCGCATTACCGAACAAAAGACTAATTTATACAAACTAGATCATCCCCTCAATTGATTACTCTGATGTGATCTCTGGAAAGGTGTCTGAAGCCGCATTAAAAGAGATCCGCCACCGAGGCAGCGTAGTCGTCCGCAATGTGATCCCTCGGGATCAAGCCCTGGAGTATAAGCAACGGATCCGCGACTATGTGGCCGCCAACAAGGAGCGGGTCAAGGCTTTCCCAGCCGACTCCCCAGCTGTCTACGAGCTGTACTGGACTCCATCGCAGGCTGAAGCCCGCGGCCACGAGAACATGCTCAACGCTCAGCGCTTCGTCCAGCAGTTGTGGCATTCATCCGACCCCAACAGCAAGATCTCAACCACCAACCCTCTCACCTACGCAGACCGTCTGCGCATCCGCGACCCCGGTGATTCAAAATTCACCCTCGGGCCACACATTGACGGCGGTTCCCTCGAGCGCTGGGAAGACCCCGAGTACTCCCGAGTCTACACCAAGATCCTGGAAGGAAAGTGGGAGCAGTACGACGCATGGGATGCGCGACACCGTCTGAACGCCAAAATGGATCTATACAACGGTGCCGGTGCATGCTCCATGCTGCGGTTCTTCCAGGCCTGGCTATCTATGTCGGACACCAAGCCCGGTGAGGGCTCGTTGCACGTCTGCCCCATGATCAACCACAGCACAGCGTACACCATTCTTCGTCCTTTCTTCGACGTCGAGAGCTCAAAACCGGCCCTGGATACTACATTCCCCGGCTCCGTACCTGGAGCTTGCCAGGAATACAACCCGGTCACGCACCCGCATCTCGATCTCGAGTCGACCATGGTTTCCGTACCGCAGGTTGCGCCTGGTGACTTTGTCGCCTGGCACTGCGATTCTCTTCACTCTGTGGACAAGGAGCACCGTGGTACCCAGGACTCCAGTGTTATGTACATTCCTGCTACCCCGCTGTGTGATATGAATGTGGACTACCTCCTTAAGCAGCGCCAGGCTGCGCAGACCTATTCACCTCCGTGGGATTTCCCCGGTGCTGGTGGACCCGGCGAGGCCGGATTCAAGGGTGCTATGGATTGGTCGGCGCTGAGACCTGAGGGTCAGCGTGCGATGGGATTAGGCAACACTCCCTGGGAGATCACCGATGTCATGAGCGAGGGTGAGAAGGAAGCTATCCGGTCTGCCAATAAGGCCTGTTTCGGTGTTTAAGATTTGTTTGGGATAGCATTTTTCTGGAGTTTCTGCTTGAAAGGTGCTTTCAAAGCTGTGTATAACAACTTGTATTTGAAAAATCAATTTTGATTACTATTCACATGAAAAATCACATGCCTTATCCACTGAGAGATCCCAACAAAACACAATTCAATAGTGCCACAGTAGTGGCACAGCAAAACGCCACATCAATGCCACAGCGAACAGCCACAGTTCGCCCCACATCCAACTAACCGCCACCCAAGGTTGCCTTGGCAAAAGAGGGGCAGCTTTTGCCTAGTTAGACGGATTCCCCGACACAACTCTTTTTCTTTTCCCTTCTCTTTACTCAGGATATCTTTTGAATTCACAAATAATTCAGACATTTACTATCACAATGGATTTCATCAAGAAGGCAGTTTCCAGCGCTAGCGGCAACCACGAGGATAAGCCTGTCCAGAACAGCACCCAGCAGAACGACGACTACGTTGACAAGGGTGAGTAACTGGTTCTGCTTTGCGCAATATGAATTTTCGACTAAGCCTTTCCTTCAGCCTTTGCTGCCGGTGTCAAGAAGTCTGGCTACAATGTCGACCGCAACATGCAGGAGAAGATTACCGATGGTGCCCGCGAGGCCTACGAGAAGGCCACTGGGTAAGTGACATTCTAGATTCTTTGGGTTTGGATGCTAATGTATGATTCTACAATACAGTAAGCAGGTCAGCGACAAGATCTCCAACTAAACCAATCATTGGAGCAATCATATTTGGGGGGGAATGAGTGAATGAATACCCAGACAGAATCGCAGATATGATAGACATGTCAACCTAATTAAACTTGTCTCTACCTCACTTGACATGGGGAGTTTTGCGTAGTTTAATTAGTTCAGTTGAACCCATAAAATCAACAGCAAGATTCACGGTCAACCCGAGGCTAAGCCCTGAAGGGGGTTCTCGGGTTCTGCGCACCAAGTTCTTGACTAAGAAGGGATCTTCGATCGTACCATGGACTGTCGAAATCAAACCAAAGATACGGGCGGATCTCGGAGATAAATGCATCACGTTACCTTCCATGGATAGAAATCAATAGCGCGATCTAGGTAGATCTTGCCTAAGTGGGCCCGGAAAAGGACAGATCCTCAATTATGATTGGTTCATCTCATTGTTATTGGCCAAAAAAAAAAGGAAAGACAAGGGCGCCTACATATGTAGGCACGTTTGTTTACGGATTAGATCCATCCCACCTATCTCACAGTAAATAGTCTAGACTGTGGCTGTATAATAAACCAGCATAGCCACACATGAGGGGAAATGAACTCTATCCTTTAGGGCGGCTAAGTCCGGCTTCCCAATAAAGAACTAAATTCGACCAGCAAATCACAAGCTCGCATGGCTTTCTCATGGCGTGATCTTCTGTTCGTAGATTGGATGATATCACACTATTAACTATGGATCAAATATGGGGTCAATTCCGATTTAAGCGACACCAGCTGAAAAGTGGCTCCCAAGGTTTGGGCAATCAATACCAAATAAGCAAAAAGACTAGTGAGCTCTGGAGATGTTAGCTTCTCCGTGCCACGATCATTGGCCCCTGCTTGACTTGCTCGCCTCGCTTGTCCGAATGTTGTCATTGAGGGGTTAAGAGAGGGGCGATTCTCTTCTATTCCATTCGACCCCGTTCCTGGGAGAGAAATAAACCGCTCACCTTATGTTGGGATAGACATAGTATCCCTTAAATAATCACTACATCCTCTTCCAAGTTCTATTCATCTTCTCATTCCAAACATAAACCAATTCCCCTTAAATCAATCAAAATGTCTTACCGCAACGAGTCCGACAGCTACGGCAGTGGCAACCAGAGCTCCGGCTACGGTGGCAACAACAACGACTCCAGCTACGGAAACAAGTCCAGCTCCGGCCGTGACGAAGATAGCTACGGCAGCAAGAACACTAGCTCCGGCTATGGTGACAACAACTCCAGCTACGGCAACAAGTCTAGCTCCAACCGTGATGAGGATAGCTACGGCAGCAAGAACACCAGCTCCAGCTACGGTAACAACAATGACTCCGACAGCTACGGCAGCAGCAAGAAGGACTCTAGCAACACCTACGGTAGCAACGACAACGACTCTTCCAGCTACGGAAACAAGTCTAGCTCCAAGCGTGATGAGGACAGCTATGGCAGCAAGAACACCAGCTCCAGCTATGGTAACAACAATGACTCCGACAGCTACGGCAGCAACAAGAAGGACTCTAGCAACACCTACGGTAGCAACGACAACGACTCTTCCAGCTACGGAAACAAGTCTATCTCCAAGCGTGATGAGGACAGCTACGGTAGCAAGAACACCAGCTCCAGCTACGGTAACAACGACAATGACAACGACTCCTCCAGCTATGGCAACAAGTCTAGCTCCAAGAAGGATACCTACGGCAGCAATGACTCTAGCAACACCTACGGTAGCAACGACAACGACTCCTCAAGCTACGGAAACAAGTCTAGCTCCAAGCGTGATGAGGACAGCTACGGTAGCAAGAACACCAGCTCCAGCTACGGTAACAACGACAATGACAACGACTCCTCCAGCTACGGAAACAAGTCTAGCTCCAAGCGTGATGAGGACAGCTACGGTAGCAAGAACACCAGCTCCAGCTACGGTAACAACGACAATGACAACAACTCCTCCAGCTACGGCAACAACTCTAGCTCCTCCAAGAAGGATACCTACGGCAGCAATGACTCCAGCAACACCTACGGTAGCAACAACGACTCCAGCTACGGGAACAAGTCCAGCTCCAACCGTAATGAGGACAGCTACGGCAGCAGCAACAAGAACTCCTCCAGCTACGGCGATAACAACAATGACTCTTCCAGCTACGGTGGTAACAATAACTCCAGCGATAGCTTTGGCAGCAAGCTCCTAAACAAGGCTGAGGGTACGTGATTCTTATTCTTTTCTGAAAGGCTTTGAGGATTATATGCTGACCTACATATCAATTTAGGATACCTCAACAAGAACCGTGATGATTAAACTCGTTCTTTGCTGGCAGATAAGGTAACTAGTGGAAATGAGCTATTTCGCTGGGATGTGTCGTTCGGAAACTAGTATATACTGAGACACAATATACGATTTATCTATTACATTTTTTGGATTCGAAAGAATATTGTAAGACCCTTGGATAGTATCTAAGGGGATACTTAGGATAAATCTGGAATCAGGGAATAGAGAGAAAAAGTGTATGTAGTGATATTAGGAAGGACTAATAGCTACTTCTAAACCAGCCTACGGAGGTGATATATATATTATAGCATACATGAGCCCCGGGTCGATGTAGGGAACGTCCGTCGGGATCTTTCCGGACTCTCAATGAATGCTTCCGGACTGCTCGCTTTATTTCCGTGGTTATTGTACACATGTAGCATACGTGACAAGGGAAGAAATAGCCAGGAAGAGGGCCACCCCAAAAAGACAAGAAGCTCTCTAATTCAATTATAATCTTATCCTAAGGTCTAGGCGTAAATTCCATATTATCACCCCGTAAGACACACAGTTTGTCCCCCAAGGCCTCGATACCGGCGAGAGGCACATCATTCGACGACAAAGGCATGTGACCATAGTCTCTTACCCCCTCCACAGAATGGAATAATAGAGCCAAGTTAGAAGACTTCCAGAGAGTAGCGCTGCGTCGAAAATTGGACATAATGCTGCATGCAAGTAAGATACCCGCGCCAATCACTACTAATACCGGGAGTGTTATCCACGGCCAGTTCACGTGGATATATGTCTCAAGGCGATAGGCCAGTCCATTCGCAATGGTACTGTTTCGCCCGGTGCGAATTCGCTCTGTGATTCCCCAGCCGATATTTTCCACAATGCGGGATAAGTTGCCGGCAACCAGGACGTCAGTCAGTGCAGCTCCTTCCCCAAAGGGGGTCATGGCTTGAGCATCAAAAATATCAGCTAGAAGGTCCGTAATCTTTGCGTGATCTGCGGCATGAAGTGCAAACATGACCTCCGGCGGGAACTGCCCGACTGATGGCCTGAACCAGTTCAACCCGGAATTTGGCGAGCCAACGCTTTTCAGCGGTACGGGTATTTCGTCCTGGATGTGCAGGGTATTTCGCGTGACTGATACATTGCGGTAGAGATACGCGGTAAGGCTTAATCGACACTCGTGGACTTCGAATTCCGACAGGTTTTGTCCAATCAGGCGCCACACGGCAAAGTTGATAAGGTCCGCGTATGGTTTACTAGGACCGATAGTCGTGTTCAACAGAGTGTACTGGAAGGTCGCGCTTTGATGTCGCCTTTTCGATGTGAGATGGTAGCCTCCGGGGGTGGTGATGTTGCAGTCTCCTAATCTTGAGTTCATGGGATACTCGCAAGTATTAACGACCGACTGGGTGACATTTTTGCATGCTCCGGCCGCACCCAGTGAGATGTAACTGGAGTTATCTGGCCAGGTACACTGGGAGGTTGGACAGATGAAGGCGCGCGGCGAAGGCGATCCGAAAACCCCATTATAAATGGCTCCCTGCATAGCAAAGTCGGTATAGTCTTTTTTTGGCCATTGTCAGCTTGTATATATACCACATCATCCCCTGAGATGCAGTACTAACTCACCGACTATGTTGTTTTGCGGGTTGTAATACGCCCCAGTTTCATAAGCCTGGCTGATCCTGAAAGACGCGGTCTCATTGTGCATGGCAGCCTGGCGACTTGGAAAGGATACCAACTGCTGTGCAAACGGATCGAACGCCAGAGCAACAAGGGTTATAACCGCACCCAGAGCCCCCAGGCTCAGAGGTAGCTTGCAGACGAACAATAGTGCACCCAAGGGTCCACAGCTTGCATTGTTATACAAGTCCAAATCGCTCAATCGATGGGGTCTGTTGAAATGCAGCCACTTCAACTGGCTAATGGATGCCGCCACAGGGAGTAGTAAGCACGCTTTGGAAACCGTCGCAAGGACTGAAATCACAGTGTTGAGTGCGATTGGTAGATTCCATGCGGCGAGAGTGGTTTCTTGCTTATTGATTAGAACAGCCACTATAGCGACCACGCAGGCAGCGCTGAAAACCAGGGATGTTATTTCCCATAACCAACTATCCTTTCCCATTATAAATCTCCCAGTTTTTTTTATAAATGGCTCATCTTCGCGACCGGTGCTGCTAGCGCCTTGGTTCTGACGCGGTGGAGATGGGCAGTGTGATTCACGACTCATACTGCTGTTCCATGCATATTCACCATCTCTTCTTCCTTCGCCTAGAGATGGATTATCCACTAAAGTAAAGATATGGCATCAGTCTAATGGGCGCACCAGAGTCAGTGGAGTGTTCTCACGAAGGCTTATAGCCGATGATGCTCTAGCCTCTGCTGAGGTGCTTGTGGCCGAAGGGTCTGAAAATGCGTGTAATGCAAAAGATACTCTATCTGAATCTGAATTCATTGTGAGTTATTGAAGAGTAAATTTTGTGCAATGCCCGCCTTTTTCTCTAATAATTAGATTTCCCTCTTGTCTTGTCGACGAGGCTGAAACTAGTAGCGCCTGTGCCCTGCAGGCTTACGCCCTTTGCCCACCAATCAACTACCAGATGGTGACAAAGAGCCTCTGCCGCTCTATCTAGTTAGCTCAGGGGTTGATGCCAGATACCTAAGGCACCCACCATTACACCTTTTCAAGTATAGACATCCCCGAGCTGCGGAGAACAAAGCCTCCGTTTCTCCTTTGCTGGCTCGCTCAGCTTGGTTCAGCCACCCTGAAGCCCTCCATCTGCATGTCAATCATGGCCGACGTGGCCTCTTGAAGCCCATCGTGCCACAGACTGTTTAGCGTCCTTCTCCGCGGCGGACACTGTTGGTTGGCGAATAGATGCCCTACTCGTACTCGCTTAGCAGTGCAGGACGGAATGTAATATTATTCCCCGTTATTAGCACTATGCTCGATCAAAAGAGCCAGCAGAGATGCCTTGCTGTCGGCACGCGCTTCAACTGGTCATTCCATAAAGAGCGTGCCTTGTTAAGTAAGGTTCACCTATGGAGAAAGCATATATATGCTCATCATCAACAGCACTACACTCATTTTCCTTTAGAGCCTCACTTCAATAGAACAAATATGATTCTATACACCAATAACCTCAAGTTACCCTTTTGCTCATATCTGATTCTGCCATCTGATACTACACTATTATCAACTTTTCAGTCGTGACCGACGCAACGAGGGCTTGATGCCAGAGTCGTCCCTTTGCTCACTTTTTTACTCTCGATTGCTCTTCCGAGTGATCACGATAAAGGATATTTTCTTTATATAGAGTATCATAACATTAAAAGCCGCTATAGCTATAAATTCTTTACTATAAGGGTTACCCTTAGCTCTACTATATTCCTAGGTTCCGGAGGTAGTAAATGACGATAAAGCCTCTACTTTTATCTTACCCTCGGTTTACGAGATCGACTACTGGTGATAGCATTTACTAGATTGATTCCTCCCGATATATCCCTTAGTGCTCTCGCCGATAATAATCTCATCGGCTATTAGGATAATCCATAGATCTAGTTAACTAGCGTAGTTGACTATGCTATCTTATTATGTTAGCCGGAACGGATCACCATTTGACCTGAAGGATACTAGAGATATCAGGGTGAACGCTTGAATGGCCGCTCGGTAACGTTGCACTGTTTTTGGGAGTAGTTAATGCATACATGTATAGATCTATATAGATGCCTCGAGCCTTGGAATAGACCCCTGGGTAATCCATGACCGCTTGCCCTCTGAGTGCGTTACTATATATTCTGCGCATCTGCTCTTAGAAGTCCTTGCTAATTGTCTTAGTTCATTTGACTGCATCCGGTGTTCAGCTCACGGACATTTCCGGACGTACAAAGGGCCACCAATATGAAGGAAGATGGGATGAGGTTGCTAGATTACTAGAGGGGACTCCACCAAATCCACCAAATGTGTTTTTATTTCATAGGTGATGTTAGATGCTTCTTTCGAAACAATCCAAAGGTGGTATTGAACCGGGAGAAGTTATTCGAAACACTAAGAGAAAATCCCTCGCAATGGCATAGGGATATTGAAGCTTCCACCTTGGGTGAGTCGATTTCAATATTTGGTTGTATTTATTTGGCAAGAAAGCAACTTTTCCTGACGTTGGCGGCTCCGGCTCATCGTAGGCTTTGCATCCAACCCCCCGAGCTTCCACCAATGCTTCCGGCACGTGGGTTCCGCGCAGCTACTCAAGCCTTGCCAGTCACGGATGGATCATACCTTCTACGTGGAAGTACCATTAATGCACACTACTTCGAACGAATCCCACCTGAACTAAGATTGGAAATTGCAACTAATTCATCAAGTGTGGACTTCCTCAGCCAGCGACTCTATTCAAGGGCAATGGCAGATATATTCGAAGGTCAAACATTCTGGAAAACAAGGTTCTTCATACACGGCGATAGAGGCTATCTTGCCTTTCTGACTAAAGGTATCAAGCGTGAAAAAGACTGGCGACTAATTTACCGTTGTACTCACAACGTTTCCAAATTACACCCCGAGCTCCGCAGAAGACAGCATTGGCGACATAACCGATGGCTGAGAGATTTCTGTACCATGACTAGAGAGCAGAATGTTCTATCTCATGATGGAGTTGGCAATGCAGAATCTCCGCAGTGGCAAAAAGCTGCCGGGAAGATATACTGTAACAGGGGAACTCGTGGTTCGCTGAATGCAGCTAATTGGAAATTGTGCGCGACATGTTTTGCCGAGCATAACCCATTGACTCAATCAGTTCCCTTCTCTAGGGCTGTTCTGGGACTCGCTATCTCTATTCTCTCAGACCCACGCTCAGATGCAGACTCAGGAAACACTTTTATCGCCGGCTTGGAGCTTATTTATCGTTGTGATATCCCGAATATTGTTCTTGGCTATCGTCGTCCAGGAAATCAAATAGTGATTGATCCTCAAGCAAGACCACTTAGGGGATTTGAGGTGATGTTTGAACAAGGAGATATTCGCGCAATACGTCCGATTTTCAATACGACGAACCTTTGGTTTGGAAAGCCCGTTGATGGATTTGATTGATCCTGCAGGCTCGTGCGACTGTCAACGGAGAATTACATACTAGCCCTTTCGGCAGACTTCGATGTAAGTCTTGCTAATCACCAGCCTGCTCAGCTTCTTGTCGATATCATAAGGATATTTATGCGGCCTTGTGATGTCTTTTTGGTAGTCTTTTAGGGGTCTTTTTAGGACTCTTCTTAGATGTTCTTTTTGTATGTCTTTTTTTAGATATTTCTTCACCCTCTCATTTGGATACCTAGACCGCAGAGAACTGGAACAGTGTTTAATGTCCAGATGACTTTGTAAATAGCGATGTACTAAGGTGTACCTTTCTGCCCTGGATGTCCATGGATGTAGACGGAACGGGGAGGATCTGGGATCTGGGGCGGCCATCACCGCCCGGACTCCGCCAAGATTGTATTGACAACATCCATTCTACACCTCCCCTCCTCCCCTCTTCAATGCTCCAATAAGAGCTACTCACAATGCGGCTTCAGGCGGCGCTCTTTTTCGCCGCGTGCCTATCGCCCGCGGCGGCCATCTACTCTGACGAGGTCAACCACATCGACTTCCACCACGCTCTTCTCGGCACCCCATCCCCCGACTCGACCTTCTTCCTCAAGCCATCTCCATCTTCAAATGCCTCCCTCCTCTATACCCTATCTGACAAGCTGCTCGTGGGTGCTGTGAACCCCCGCGACGGCGCGCTGGTATGGCGCCAGAACATCTCGCGGTCGGCCGACTCTCCTGCGCATGGGACGGGTCTCTTGCGCGGATTGGATGGGAACGATGCTGTTATAGCTGCGGTGGGTAACTACATCTCATCCTGGAGTGCCCAGGATGGCAAGGTGGGATGGGAAAATCGAGTTTCCGAGGGTGTGGTTGCTGATCTCGAGCTGTTGGAGCTTGAGGATGCTACCGCGACCTCCGGAGTGAGAGATACGATTGCTGTGGTTGCCAGCGAGGGCACCGGAATCGTGAGACGGCTGGATGGAAACACTGGAAGGACTGTGTGGGAATACAAGGATGCAAGGTGGGTTTTGTCTTTGGCTTTCTTTTTACAAGTCCCAAGCTAATGAATTGTTCTTCTAGCGGCGACGTTCCATTCCAAGTGTCGTCTTCTTCCACGGAAGTCTTCTATATTTCACTCCAGTCGGCTATGTTGAAGGGTTACAAGATCAAAGTCACCGTTTTGGACCCATTGACTGGGCGACAGACCCGTCAACAGATTCTGAACTATGAGGCTGATGTGGCTACCCCAGAGTCCGTCCACTATGTGGGCGCTAATTCCGCCTCGCCTATCATCGTTTGGACCGACAAATCGCAAAAGTTCCTGAAGGTCAATGTCATCGGTACCAAGGAGGTCGCCTCTATTGCCATTGACAACACCTCCGGCTCCGAAATTCGACAGATCACAGTCCACGCTCCCCACAAACTCAACGCTCTGCCCCATTTCTTGGTCCACTTTGCAACCGAGGCTGGAGCCTGGTCTGAGGTCTACCATGTAGACTTGATGTCTGCCAAGGTCGCCAAGGCTTACCGGCTGCCCTATCTGCCCGGCCAGTCGGTGGTCGCGGCCAGTGTCATTGACGCTAATGTCTATTTCACTCGAATCACGGACACGGAAGCCGTTGTTGTATCATCCGCCTCTCATGGAATTCTGGGACGATGGGATCTGCAGAAGCCTTCTTCTGACAGGGCCCTTCACTCAGTATCAGAGGTCGTTGCCAAAGGAAAATCTGTGGCTGTTAGGTCGGCGCTTTTCCGGAAGCACGGAGATTGGCAACTCATCCGAAATGGCCAGATCGAGTGGACTCGGCATGAGGGTCTTATTGATGCTGTCGCAGCTACCTGGGCGGAAACTGCCGCCCAAGAGGACCTCGCTCATGAGCTGGAGGTCGAGGGCCACGAGACTGTGTACGGCGCGTACCTACACCGGGTGAAGCGTCATATCCGGGACTTGGAACATCTGCCCGAGTGGCTGAAGGATCTTCCTAAGCGCATTCTGAGCAGTATCTTAACCGACGAGGTGTCCAACCTAGACAGCTTTGGAGTTGCCAAATCAGTAATTGTCGCCACCAAGAACGGCCGTGTCTACGCCTTGAACACTGGCGACCACGGCGCCGTGTCGTGGGGCATCCAGGCAGTGGAGACGTCGCAGTGGAATGTGAAGGCTATTTTGGCTTCGCCTGGAGTCGCGACCATCTACTCCGACGACGGAAGCTCTGTGACTTTGAATGTGTCGAGCGGAGAGATCGTTTCGCGCATCGAACCATCCAACAGCAAACTCCACTCGGTTGCTGTCTTCGAGGCGCAGGATGGAAGTTCACTGGCCACCGTCGGTGTCCGTGAAGATGGTACTCCGGTCACTGCGTTTGCTGACGACAATGGGTTCCTGGTAACCACCAGCGTTGATGGCCGAGTCCTCGGCTGGGTTGCAAAGGATAACAAGACTCCTGTGTGGGAGTTTATCCCTCCCTCCGGAGAGAAGGTCGTCAAAGCGACCGCTCGCCCTGCGCATGATCCTGTTGCATCTATCGGCAGGGTCCTTGGAAACCGCTCGGTCCTTTACAAGTACCTCAACCCTAACCTCGCCCTGGTGACTGCGGTCAACGAGCAGACCCACAACGCCAGTTTCTACCTGTTGGACGGAGTCTCAGGCAAGGTCCTTCACGCAACCACCCAAGCAGGTGTTGACTCCACGCAGCCCATCGCATCCGTGATGTCCGAGAACTGGTTCGCCTACTCATTCTGGGGTGACGTTACCGGCAGTGAGTCCTCCGCCAAGGGCTACCAACTGGTGATCTCGGAGCTCTATGAATCCCCCTTCCCCAACGACCGTGGTGTTCTTGACTCCGCCACCAACTACTCTAGCACTGCCACTCTCCCGTTGCCCCACGTCATCTCCCAGGCCTTCATGATCCCCGAACCCATCTCCCACATGGCCGTCACTCAAACGCGCCAGGGCATCACCACCCGTCAGCTTCTCTGCACTCTCCCCTCCTCTAACTCTCTCGTTGGCATTCCTCGCCCCGTCCTCGACCCCCGCCGCCCTGTCGACCGTGACCCCACCGCGGCCGAGGCCGAAGAAGGCCTGTTCCGCTACGCGCCCTACCTCGACTTTGATGGTAGATGGTACCTCTCGCACACGCGCGATGTCGCCGGCATCAAGGCTGTGCTCTCTCGCCCTACCCTGTTGGAAAGTACCAGTCTTATCTTCGCTTATGGAAGCGATATTTACGGTACCCGAGCCACGCCCAGTCAGGCATTTGATATTCTTGGCAAAAGCTTCTCCAAGCTGCAGCTCGTTCTCACCGTGGTTGCACTCGGAGTTGGTGTCACCATTTTGGCTCCGATGGTAAGTTTTCTGTCTAATTTCTCCAGGTGCATTTGCTAACTTTTTGTCTAGACCCGGAGGAAGCAAGTTAATGCCCTGTGGAGGGCTTAAGCCTTCTAGGCTCATATACCAGATGTCATATTGTTCTTTAGACTGTAATACATACGTTGGTTATCAAATTCTCCACACGTAGCACCTCAAGTACTAGCATACCACTGCGAATATTAGTCGCCATACCGTACTCCAGCCAATCTAACCTGCTGAAAAGAAATTGCAGCCTGGTATACCGAAAGTCATAGGTCATAGGGAACATTTCATTCATTCAGAAACATAAGATTCCAAGGATCTAACGTAATATCAAACAGCATAGCAAAAGAAAACAATATCAACAATCCTCCACAACTGTACAGACTTTATGTACTGAGTTTCCACACCAAAAAAACCAAATCATCAACGAGCCAACCTCAATACAACGGCATAGGCGACGAATTAACATAATCAACATTATGTTCAACAGACTCAATGCGATCAGCACAAGTCCCAAAAATCCGATCCCAAAGCCTCGTCTGCTTCCCATAATTATGACTCTTCTTCCACCCCTTCCGATGATGCAAATCATGATCCTCAATGACAAGCTCCGCATCAAACCACCTCAAAGCCCAACTCAACGTCGACGGCGGCGTAGCATGCACCCTCAACCCACTATGACCCGCCAATTCCGCAAACACCACATACTGATGACAAACCCACCACTCATAGAACCCCATCGGCATCCCCATAGCCCGCATACTGAAATAAGTCATAAGCGGGATACCCAGGATATCGAAGAACTCCTGCTCAGAGTCCGCGTACAGCGTTAACAGCGGGTTCGGATGCTTAGTGAGGTGGTGGGTACGGTGGTATTTCCATAACGCGCCGACATCATGCATCAGTCGGTGATACCAGTAGAACCAGAAGTCGAGGATGATACCGTATAGCCCGGCTTCGAGGGGTAGCCAGATGAAGCTCATTGTTGAGGGTGGGTTTGTTGCGTGGTATGCGATAAAGACGGTGAACATTGGGCGGAAGGTTGATGTTGACATGAGTGAGCGGACGACCTTTGCGACGCCGACGTCTGGGACGCCGTCTCGGGCGTGCTTATCGCCATCTAGGAAGCCGTGCTGATGACCCAGTCGTCGGAGGACGTGGAGTTCATGGATGGCGATGGTTTTGAATGCCAGTCCGTATAGGAAGAAGGCGCCCCAGGCGCTGAGGTTGTGGCCTGTGAAGGAGACGTAGGCGTGGTGGAGTAGGAGGGGGATGGCGGCGTGCGTCAGGACCCAGCGGTGCATAGACCAGTCTGGGACATAGGGCACTGCGTCTTCTTTTAGATGGATGGGGATGTTCTTGTCGAGGTGTTCTGGGTGAATTCCTAGTAGTTCGTAGAACCAGTGGAAGAGAGTCCATTCTGAGCGGGCTTGTTGCCGCCAGGTGGACTTCATGGAGTCCTTTGGGTTGGGACTCATTATGGATGATTCGTAGACGGTATAAGGGTGTTGGAATGCACACTTCAGCCCACCCCCAGGTACGGGGTGGATTGGTGGGTTTTAAGTGCTTGGGCTTATTGTCGATCACTCCCCAGTCGTTCGGGTCATTGGAGACGCTCGGCGCATGTGAAGAAAGCCCACTTCTTTCACGCTCCCCGCAAAAATGAGCCTCGGACGTTTGGCTGGTTTAGAATATGATGTCGATCACATCTCATTTTGGTATCTTTCCCAACAACATGGCCATTTTAGCGCGTTAGTTAGCGTTTGGGCTCAACATGGTTGCCTTATGTTTGTGTTTCGGGCTGATTCGGGGATGATATCATGATACAGGGGCATTCATAAGTAAAGGACTTGTTTATTTGGTTAATCAGGACCCGATTCTGGATGTTCATCGTATTTGGCCGTATAGATGTGACGTTGCCCTGAGTCATGTGGTCAACCAAGCCCTTATTCCTAATTTGGTCAACTTACTACTAGTGAGGTTTCTGGATATTTCCTGGATTTCTGTTCCATTATATCTAGAACAGACGCTCTATATGATTTAATCTTTTCAACATATTCTGTATTCCATGGCTAATGTTTCCATCAATCTAGTTATAACACTGAGAAGGTGGACATACATCTGAAAAGACAGCTACAAAGACAGTCCAGTGTTATTGAATATAACATCCCTGATATTCATCTTAAGCCAAATGTATTAGAATATCAAAGCCATATGCCCCATAAACAGCAATTCTTGATGATCATATATAAATCCGTTTGTCACTTTTCTGACATCTATAGACATACAAACGAGAGAGCAGGGCCTGGATGTTGGTAAATGGTGACTCCTAGGTAATTAGCTGCTTGATTCAATGAGATCCAGATGGTCTACTTAACTCAAGTCCAAAGTAGTCAGCCAAAATCCTCCCTGGATGGCCGAGTGGGTGAGAGACACGAGGTCATCTGATTGCTGGCTGGAACAGTGAGCACGGGTGATACCGCATTGGGAAGGTCAGCAATGGTGAAACTGGTGAGGGTTTCGATCCTCACCAGGAGTAATTGGGACGGATTACTTTTTTTTGCTCCCTTTCTATACAGCCCTTCACCACTATAGTCTCTTGCTCTCTTTTCTTAGCTTGTCTAGGGCTGTAGCGGTAGAATAGCTCTCTACAGCAGGATATTCTGATATCATGGATTATAGTGCTTTGTTTCTCTTGTTTGAACCTGTCTTGGGGGGTGGGATACACTCATGGCATTCTAGCCCGACACTGGGGGTTACGACCAACTCTATTAAACGTTAAGCACGAATCAAAGCCCATCACCAGTTTGAAGAAGAGCACATTTCATATATAGAGAACAAGAGCAAAGTAAAAAGACAGCATATAAATGTTGAAAAGATGGGGCCACTACCGACATCATGCAATGATTTCGCAAGCACATGCAATTCCCTAGTGTACATTATAAAGGCAGCCAGATATTCAACAAAATAGATAGAATAAAAAATATGCCTCGGTATTGAGATCTGCGCTATCTTGTATGTCACATCGCTAATGGTATGTCCAAACACAAACCCCACGATTATTCTTGCTGCCATTCTATGTGCTCTATGCGGCAACAGTATTCTGTGTCTCCTCCACAGACAACTGATTCACCTTAACCGCCACATCGTCAATAGTCTTACTATCCTCTGCTTTAGCCTCTGCGCCACTAGACGCCTTCTCCGCAGAACCAGCGGAGTTAGCCTCTGACTCGACCGAAGCCTGTGTCTTCGGGATGGGAACGATTTCCCTCCGCTCCTTTCCATCAACGGTGCCCAGTACCTTGAGGAGATCGCCCTCGAACAACACAGGGCCCTTGAGGATATCCTTCCGTTTTTGGCCGTCGGTGATCGGTTGTTCGATGCCACGGAGGAGTTCGCGACTGGGCTCGTCTAGATTCGGCATCTCGCCCCATGACCAGTCCAGCTCGCCACCGTATTGCTTGGGGATGCTGGATGGCTCCATGAAGGAAGTGAGAGTTGGCTCGACCTCTGCGGCGGAGAGAATGAAGATCTTTGAGGTTGTGCCTGGGTCGAACCAGCGCTTGATCCAACCCCAGACGGTTGGGAAGAATGCGGGTGCTCCGATAATCTGACAGTTGAGTTAGTTCCACGATCTTATCTTCAACGGCCCTCCGGACGGATTAGACGGGGGTGGACAACATACAAAGATTCGATCCAACGTCTCGGGGTAATGCGCGGTGGCCAAAACACTAGCATCCTGCATATGACTCTTCAGGTTCCAGAACTGCTTCAGCCCGACACCGCTGACATCCACGATATTGGTCGACGTCACGATAGGCGTCTCTGGGTTCGGACGTGGGAGCGCGGACGCGAGCGGCATCACGAACCGGAGAAGGTTCTCATACAAAGCGAAGAGGTTCAACAAGCGCGCGGGGACTGTGGATGATTTGTGCGTTTCGGGTGTACCAGTAGTCATGGTGGAGTTGTAAGCAGCGACAGCCTTGTTATCCAGGTGGCGGATCTGGAAGACGTAGATAGGGATTCCGCGGCGATCGCGACGGCCTGTCCATTGGGGGTACTGTAGAGAGAGTAGATATCAGCACGAGCTCTATGTTCTCGTTCGCAAGGTATTGTAGAGCGCACCATCCGTCGAGCGGCCTCGTATGAATCCACGCTGATGTTCTCATATAGCTCCTCGATGGCGTTGTCTTTGCGCCAGTCTTCAGTGTCCTTGAATTGAGCCCACGCGCCTTCAACGTCAAACTTGCGAGCGCGGAGGAATCGCCTGCGCAAATAATCAAAATCAGTACTCGATCATCTTTTTCGTTTTGGCCATTTCTAGCTGTGGTGGGGTCTGGCGCGGAGGCGCAACATACAATAAAGTCGCATCATCCTGGCTGGCGGGCTTTGCTTCGACACCCTCTGATCGTTCCACAGCAGGGGTGTAGTATTTCCGCTCAGTGCACAGCGCCTTAAACTCCTGCAGCTTCTCGTCCTGCTCCGGTGTAAGGTGGTGCAAGTGTCCGGCGAGCCATGCGGTACCAGAAGCTTGTGAGGCGGATGCGGCGGGATCGTTCTTCGAGGAATCGGTACGCGACAGGTCCTGTTCGGATGCCTGCGGAGTTTTGTTGCCCCAAAACATAGTGAGTTATCTCTTATGTTTGTTTACTTTTTTGAAAGAGAGATCGACCATCTGAAATATATCTCGGAGGTGGCGGAGGGAAAGAGGCGGTGAAATAAATGTGACAGTTTAGCCCCGAGGTCGGTGCCCAGATGATGCTTTGGCTGACTCTATTTGTGATACATCTTTCTCTACTTCTTTATCACGCATTTGGGTGAGACCTCATTTTTGAGAATGTTGAATGTTGAGTTAACATATATTTCTGCGTAGATCGATCGATCAACAAAGCTAATCAGCAGGATCAACCAAAGTAGCCATCCCTAGCAACTGACATGCGGATGAAGCTATACGAGCTAGTGTCTTAAAGGGCATGAAAACACAAAATGCAATAAAATTCCGTCCTAAATTAAACCAAGTACCATATCTCAGTGTACACAGCACAGCCAGATGCTAATCATAGGGCCGACCCCAACCATATCTGTACAGATCGCCCTCATACAGCTCAAAAATCAAATAGTTGCAAGAAATTAGTCTTCGGACAGATCACCATACTCCCACATACCGCGGCGGTCGGCCTTAGCCTCGTCCTCGAGTGCGCGGAGGTTAGAGAGGGTATCAACGGAGGCACGCTCCCACGCCTTCAACTTGCGGGGAACCATGGCCATACCCTCGTGAATGATATCAGCGTTAATGCTGTTGTCCAAGTTCTTGGAGGCAGAGGGATCAAGGAGTGTGACGTGCAGGGTGCCATCCTGGTCAACGTGGTCAACGTTTGCCACGAGCTGGCGGTCGAAGGTCTGGTCGCCGACGAAGCCGACGGCATCCTCAAGGTAATCCTCGGAGGTGGGGAACTGCAAAAGAGAGAGGACTGCGTCCACGGCCTGGGGGCGGAGGGTCTGGCCGGAGAATTGGGGTTGAGTGAGAGGACGGAGTGATGCCCATGGCAGAACCTCAGAGTTGCCGTAGTCGACGTAGACCACCTCGGCCTGCTCCTTCTCGCGGTCGTTGCGGCGCACCTTGGCGCGGTACCAGTCGCCGTCTTCGGTGAATTGAGCGGCAACCCAGTCGCCGGCCTTGGGAGGACCGGGCAGCGGAGTGTCATTGGCCTTGTTAATATGGAACTTGCGGAAAGCGCTCATCAGCTCGGTGAGGGCATTGGTACCGGTGCCGATCTGCTGCAGCTTGAGCTTTGCAGAGGTAGGGTCAATGTAGGTAACCATAACGTCGCGGTAGTCCTTGCGACGCTGTGCGGGGACGGCATCGCTCTCAGTGCCAGTTCCGGTGCCATTGGCGGCCTCGGCTTCCTCGGCCTCAGCAGCCGCCTTGACGGGGTCCCAGTCGTGCCACAGACCCTTGCGGGCGTCCTTGGCCCGCTGCTCAGCAGCGAAATACTCGTTGGCGTGACCAGACTGCTCAGCCGAGTATGCGTGGACGGTGGCGAGACCCTCCTCTAGGAGAACGGTTGTGAAGTTCTCCTTGTTGATGTACAGGCTGCCGATAAATCCGCCAACCTTGTCAATAGTCTCAACGTCAATTTCAACGTCGCGCTGCATGCAGCGGCGGTTGGCAAGGTCGTGGGCCTCTTGGCCGAAAGGCTCACCAGCGTCGCTGGGCCCGCGGGAAGAACGCGGGGCACGGATGCCAGAAAGAACGAGGGTCAATTTAGCGTTATCGCGGGGAACTAGAACAGTGAAGCGAGCCGCAGACTTGACAAAGTCGACGACGGCCGGGACACGCTTTTGACGCTGCAAGATACCAAGCTCCAGCTTGGCCTTTTGTACGCTCTCTGAGTAGTCCACCACCTGCTTCGCCTTGGGAGGCTTGGAAGACCACATTCCACGGCCTTCCTTCTGGGCCTCAGCCTCGGCAGCGAGC